AATTCAAGCATCCGATAGCTTATCACGTCCGCTCATATCGATTGCGTCCGAGATTAATGGGACTCGTAGATGGGGCGAATCGCACCAGGTCCCATTTCGGAAGATATAGCGCCCCGGTCGCCTATGAATAATAAATAAATCGTTAACTGCATACAGTGTTTCGGTCGTCGGTGGCGCGTCGCGATGACTCCCACGAATCTGTATTTTAATTTCCTGTATGTGTTGTGGGCGACCCGGGAACATCACAGGACGATTAATTCCATTCTATAGTCATTTCCAGCAAATTCGTAACAAAAATTATTTCTCCAAAAATTTTCCGTAATATTTACAGTAATTTTATCGAAATCAACTTTAGCTTAACTTTAACATATTTTTTTGATGATACAATATGAATGGCTCTGTACAATAGAGTTAAATTTTATTGAATTATCCTAAATGCATTGAATCGTTGTTCCTATATCTACATCGCAAACGAGAATCGAATGGATTTTGCTACGAGGTGCAGCCGGAGGGGTACATCAGTTCCGTTGGTACGAAAATTAATTGAAGAACTATTGAGTACTCGTGCTTTTGAAATAGGTTTCCGGAACAATCCGGCCGAAGCAAATTTAATCAGTGCGCAAAATTTAGTGTCCGTTTGCGATGGAATTCGAAATACTCTCTCGAATGCGGGAATCCTTTATTCTCCGATGTTGTTTGGTTGTGTATTTGCGACATCTTGTCACTGGGAAGACAAACAGCGTCGTGCACAAATCAAAAAACGAATATTACTCATCTCACGTATCTTGGTAGTATAATCGGCTCCGCGTTGTGCGGTTCCGGTCCGTTTTAAAATTCAAATCGGGTTGTATGTCATTGTAAAAACGTCCCCGCGGAAGTAAGACGTGATAAATACACGCGACCCGGATTTTTCTTGTAAGCACTCTTTTGTTTCGGGTTTTAAAATGAGGTGGAAAACTCGGCGCAAGAAAACCATATCTCCTTTTTCTTATTACAAAGTTGTTGGTTTTGCTTTATTAGTCCGTACAAAGTTCGTCATTTTTCGCGCTTTCCCTTTACGTTTTGTCCCCTCGCATTGCACACAGAATGATAAATTCTCAGAATATGCAAAGACGTTTCTAACCGGCCCCGTATTTCCGGAACCACATTTGGCATAAATTCGCCGTCGTTGCCGCCGAGGAAAGCGCACCACATCGCACTTGTCCATCATAATTCAGGATTACGGGGTTGGCAGGGCGAAAAATCTCTATTTATAGTGGGAGCATTCTAATGTCGCCCAGATGGTGCCGTAGACGTTATCGTACCCCCCTCGCCTATCAAGAACAATGTTGAAATATCTTCGTACTTTTTGTAAACCACCCGACAAGTATTTATTACAAGCATAAATCTTTTCTTGGGCACAAACCCGCCTTGTCCTTCGTGTTTCTTCACTTTCGAAGCGTGTTTATACCACCGTTACTCATTTTTAGTGATTTACAAAGACGGCCCGGATTTACATTTTACCTAAAGTACATCAACTTTACTTATTTGTTTTATCTAATTCTTTTGTTGTTACTCATAGAAATAAAAATAAATCATAATACGTCATTAATTTAAAAACGTTTTTCTTGGTATTGAAACGCATCAAACGTTAATCATAACAGGAAATTTACAATCAACTCGAAATCTTAATTGGTCTTTTAGGTAATCGCGGTTTACTATGGAAATTGTTTGCGGTATTTCAGACGCAACTTCATCAAATGTAAACTTAATTAAAACTAATCTAAAATCAATGTTTTAATGTAAAGAAATATCAATATATGTATATCAATATAGTTCACATCGTCAGTATGATTCACGAAAATATATTGCTTTTAAAGCTGGAAGAAGATTAAAAGTATTTTATAGTTTGATTGATTAGGGTAAGATGGGTTTAAAATTTTTTACAAAGAAATAAATAATACCCGAAATTTTATTTTTGTAATAAAGATAATTTTTGCTTTATTATCTTTAAACATGACATATCTTAATTTATTTCTTAATACTTTCTTTGAAAAGAATATTTAAAGATTATCGGGTTATTCCATGTTGATCATTATTGACCGAATAAATATACTTTGTTACACATACATTGCTATTACTCCAGCATTTATATACATATTAACAATAACATTAATTCTTTATAATACCAACTTAATTAAAGTTATTCTAACTCTAGTCAAGTTGAAACATAACTATAATTATGTAAACAATTAAATTATACTTGTTCTTCCTCAAGTTAAAATCGATGAACGAAGGATGTTCAAAGAGAGTGTCAAAAAACTTTCTGAAACTATGGTTCTGTGAAATCTTCCTACGAAGAGAAAGCTTAAGAATATTTTGTAATTGATACATGAACGAAGGCGAAGAAAGAAAATACGACATATCACAATTTCATTCTCCAAATCGTACTACAAGTTAATTGATTCATCATTAACTGCAAACTTAAATTCCAAGTCTTCTACGATTTCATTCAAACTATACTTAAATATCTACTTCCACTTTTAAGACGTACTTCATACAGTCGCGCCAGTTATTAGGTGTTGTCTTTGCAAGGCAGTCGTTAAAAAGTCTTTTAACATAACCAGATTTAAATGTTTTATTATTTGCTTCAACGTCTTCTAAACGCAGAATTTTGGAACTGGTTCCTTCCATACAACGGTCGATTCCGTGCCGAATATGTTGACTTCACATGGAGTCTTTTTGCTTTGGCAATTAATCAAGTCAGAAATGGTATTGGTCATACATTTCAAAATGCATTCGCAGGTTAGATCCTACTCTACCCATGGGACTCCTGCTTTATGTGTTCGTAACCTAACGCAGCATGTAGTACAAAGGCTATAGGCTTTAATAAGGGAGTTGTAAAGAAGTATACCAGAAAAACCATTGTAAATTATATCTCCCATGAAGAAATGGTAACACTAGATAGATGACTACTCAGTTATTTGTTGTATGGTTTCCAAGATTTGTAAAATTTTCTGAAACATCAAAAAACCTCCCAGATTACAGATTACGCGAGAGAGAGTAGTCTTCATAACAGCAACGATCTTCAAATCTGGCTATGAAGTAACCCAGGAAAAATCGTAACTCTTTCAAATTTCAACGTTTTTCAAAATGCAACAATTAACTGATATGTATTAATCATTTCCAAGGTACAGGAAAGTAGTCAATTAAACTATCTATATTCACCGATAACATTTTTCTCTCAGCACATATAACTGACATAGCTGAACAATTGGAATTGTTTCCGACTAACATATCACCTAAAAAGATAGGTTTTTGCAAACTCTAATAATGATATACCGACTAAGAAGATTCAATTTAATGATGCTAAATGTAGCCTAAAATTATAATGATCATTTCAAAAGTTAAAAAAGGAACGGAAAAGATTATTCGAAAAAGTAGAGAGATCGCTAGTTTAACACATTTCCATAAAATATGAGTAAAAAGTGGAATATAATAAAAATTTTATCGAGTTTTGCTCATTAATCTTATACATCTCCTTTCTGTTCAATGATATCCTTAGTCTTATTCGTCAAGTAAATTGTTAATTTGCGTCCATAATCTAAAACCGTCTTTACCGTATAGGTCGTCTTTCGTCTCTTTTGGTTTTATAATGCTTTGATAATTTTAGGCCATCACCCAAAATTATTTCCTGGTATTTAACCGATGGAGATGGTTAACGTCATGGTCAGATTCACTGTTGCAGATTTTTCACAAACACAGTAGTTTAGTACTTTAGTTTTAGTACTTGACATTTTCCTAGATAAGTCCCAAATCTTCATTTATGCAACCATTTTAATATTTGGTTGTATAGAGTTTGTAATTTTGCTGTGGCTTTATCCAGTATGTTGCTATGTGAGATGAGCATTGTGTCGTCTGCATATTACAAGATATACAGCTCAGGGTTGAAATTGTTTGGATCTTTTGCATAGATGGTCGTATGAGTACCTATAGGTTATGTAAGGTGGAAGAAAGGGGGAGTCTTGTTTGGATGAGAAAGATAATGAAAATGTGTCGTCAATCCTTACTTGAAACGTTCTGTTTTCTAAAAGTTTGCCGATTTAAAGTAATCATTTTGAATAATAATATATTGTGAAAAGATCTACATATTATATTTTTATTTTTAACCTTTAGAGGACCGGGACCACTACTTAAGTGGTGGTCTATGTTATCAGTCTTTGTATATGATAAATATATCATATGAAGTACATTTTGTATCGATTTTCTTCAGACAATATGTTACCTAAAATCCCGGCCCCCTAAAGGTTAACTAGAAAGAACGTTTTGAATCATTCACAAATTTAAAAGACAGATTTTAAAAGTTTGTAAAAAGAATGTTTGAAAAGCTCACAAGTTTTGCACAAAGCCCTTGTCAATAAGTAGAGGGATTATGCTAATCACGAGTATTTATGTAATCATTCAATTTGAAAATTGGAGGTGTATTTAAGGAGGACTTTGAGTTTTTGATTCATTTTGGGAAGCCCTGTATCCTGCCTGAAATGTGTAGGAATGTGTAGGAATGTGTGGGAGGGCTTCTTTGTAAGTGACCAAGCACAGCTGTTATTATTATTATGTCCTTAGAACTTTAACATGGTACTAAAATTGTTCAGAAAAAATTTAAAAATTATGCGATTTTTGATTACAATTTTAATGATGAAAATAAAGAAGTGTGAAAAGAAAAGCTATTAATAGGCCAATTAATTAACTTTATTAATCAATTAATAACTCCATAAATTTTCAGTTTTCTATCAAAAAATTTCTTGAGTAAATTTATCGAATTCATGAAATTTCTCAAATAATATGAGTATAATATTTCAAAGATATTTTTAAATAATTAATGTTTAGAGAACATGATACTTAATTCAGCCTTTATCATCTCAATAAAACTAGTTTAAGTCTATTTATTTCTAGAAAAGCAAACATCTATAAATAAAAGTTATTTGTTAAAATTCTTTTGTACTCAATTAAAAAACACAGAATTAACTTATAAATTCAATTTTATCCAATTTATTGACAACTTTAACAATTTAAATACATTTTAATAATTATATCATCTTCTTATTCTTAATCAATTAACATCATCTTCAAAACTTAAAACGAACCTTTCCCATTTTTACCTGAAAACATAGTAAAAAATATAAATTCAATGTTACAAATATATTTAAATACATAAAAAAAATTTATGTGGGTATGTTGTTATTATTACCAAACTCGTCTGCATTGCGCACCAGGATAAGGTCTTATATATCCTATTGGACATCGGCGTTTATTTTGGGGAACATAAACTGGGGCAGATTCAACAAATTCCGTATAATAAACCATCAGTATGATCAAAATAACCGTAACAACGAAAGCACACCGAATAATACTCATGGTGAAAATTATACGTTGTTGTTTTTCGACAACTGCGGAACGTTTACGTTTGATAGATTACGCATCTGAGCTTTTTATATGCATTATTAAGGCAGGAAGCACGATTAGATAAGCATTGAACTTACGCAGAAAATAAAATATCAACAGTAGCAATCAATCAATCAAATAAATAAAATTTCCCAATGCTATACTTACACGGAAATACATAATTTCAATTCCCAATTTTATGTTATTGTTTTGCGAAAAGCCGGAATTTTTGTTGTTGAACTCTATTTATTTAATTTTTTTCTAATTCATCATTAAAAATGACATCATATTGCGGTGTTCGAATTTTTAACATTAAATGTTATTTAAATTTATTCTAACCAATATGACGCATTGAGTAATCTCAAATTAATAACAACCGATAAGAATGATATGATATCGTGAAAGTGAGTAATCTGTTTATAAAACGTGGTCTTGTAAGGAAATTTTTATATCGAGTATAATTACCATTGTGTCTTGTTAAATTCAGGTTTACAAACTCCGTTTACCAATATGTAACCGTTAGCACAAGGAGCACCAACGATGTTTGCTATTTGATGATGTACACTATAATTAGCACTTCTAGTAAAAACAATCTCATAAAAGCTTACACATAAAGCCAATAAAAAAATTAACTTGAACGGAATCATGGTTCTTATGAAACTAACCGATTTTAACGCGAACTTCAAGTGACTAATAATAACCAAGAATTTCGATAAGTTTTTATCGAAAAAAATATATTACCTATTACACTTTATTAAATTCTGGTCTGCAAACTCCATTTACAAGAATCCATCCATCTTGGCAAGGAACAGTGACAATGTTTAAAATGTCAGCATCCGTACTTGCTCTACTAGCAAAAATTTAATCAATTTTTTTTAATTTACGTAAATACTACCTATTTACACTTTATAAAATTCTGGTCTGCAAACTCCGTTCACAAGAATATAACCATCTTGGCAAGGAACAACCACTACATTTGAAGTATCAACATCCACTGATCGCTTATTAATATCCCTAGCCATAACAACGGCTAAGAAAACCATGTAAAAATATAAGAAAACGGTTAAAATCTTAACGGGAGTCATCTTGATAACTGAATAATTCCGTTGTATTCCCGCTATTTATATACAGAAACAAGCGGTTTAAATTATGTCGGGACTTTTCTAAATATTTGCTTTTTTATTGGTTATAGGTAGATAAATTAATGGATTGTTTAAAGCCAACATAATTATCCTTTCATAAAATAATGAGATATCGTTTTTTATCGGCTTAATGGAAATATACACTTGAGAAATTGCGAAATTAATAAATTTCAAATATTTCAATAATAAATAAATGTAACTATTTTAATATGCATACAAATATTACTTTTTTTATTAAATTATTTATTGTAACTATGTATATTATAAATAACTTATAATTTATAAACAACAACTATGTAATCCTAATATTTAAGTCATCTTATCTTTTTATGTCTATAGTTCAATTGATACTTATCGTTCATCTGCTTTACCTACTTACTGATAAAGAGTTGGTTTCCACAAACAATATAAAGTAAATGGTTATTTCTGCTTAAATATGATAACAAACAACTTTGCTTGTTAAACAACACTACTTTATTTCCTTTCATACAGTGAAAAAATAAAGTTAATAATCTTAACTGAATCATTTAGCATGTACGACACTTACCCATCCTTGTAGGTAAATGTTTATTTTATACGTATCAAAAATAGATTTGTAAACTCCAAGGAGCTGGCCATAAAACACTCTATCTAAATCATATACTCTATGATCAACAGTTTCGTGTGAATATGAATTAAATATAATTCCTCAGCCGCAGGCGACCTTGGCTTAATCAGGCTGAATCAGTTATTTTCCGTTCTAAGTTCAGTCGAGATGGCTTGTGTCCGAGGCGCTACAACATGTCTTGATCGCTTTCGAGTTGACAACATCAGGGTGTTGTCATTCAGTACAACCCGACACCTCTAATGGTGTCGGATTGCAAGATTTCCTCCAACAACAATTCAACAAGAATTTTGCCAATTCCAGGCGTTCGATATTTTGTCTATAATTAGCAATGTTGTAATTTCTCAAACATTATGGGAAAGTTAGCTTTATTGTTCAAATTATCTACCAACTTCTTAAAAGTTGTAGATGAGAAGGAACTTCATACATAACAAAGTAATAGATTCATTGACTTAAAGAAAAAATTACGCTATTTGTAACCTACCTAGATGAAATGATAAGAATATGCAGAATTAGAACAAAGAAATTCCAGGTTGGATATAGGAATATACAACCTCTGGAAATTACAGAGGGAGCTTTTGCGGATGATGTTGTGATTATAGCAGATGGGCAGAATGAATTACAAGACGGATTAGATAAATGGATTTTGGCATTGAACGACTTTGAAAAGAAGATGAATAAAAACAAAAAAAAAGTTATGGTGATAGGAGAGAAGATTGTAGGGGCGATAAGACAGTAGGATAGAGAGGAAGTATTATAAATTTCTAGGAGTTTAACTCAAGGATAGAAAAGATAGTAAGATTTTATTATGATATGAGTAATCTGTTTATTAACTACAGAAATATATCGAAGGAAACGGAGTTGAATATCAAAGTAATATGTAGACCATGCGTATGCTTATTTTTAAAAAGCTGTTAAAAATAATTAAAGAAACTATTTAAGACCATAAAGAAAACTAGAAATTTCTTTTATTTAAACTTTGAAAATTAATAATAAAACATACAATTTGTAACAAAATATAGCTTTAAATAGGCAACCCAATTAACCGATGAACAACTTAAGCTGTATAAATTTTTACAAAAATAAATTTTGAAATTTAAATAAAAAGCTTTTACCATTGCATTCTACATGCACCATCGACGCTAACGTATCCTTGATTACATGGAACTTCGATTATTCTTCGCGATTGATGTGGTTGAAGACATGGAACATACCAATAAAAGCGATCGTTTTCGTTGGTATAAAGAATATCGCAAGGCGTGGTAGGTGTTAATTCAACATTTTCATCATCAGATTCTGTTAGTTCTACGTCTGCGAACACTACACCACCATACACGATCAATACAATTAAAATTCTTCTTAAAAACATTTTTAGATGTGATGAAATAATAACATTAAAGACCAAACTGTGACAAGTAAGTTCAATCCCGATTTCTTATCTTTATGTTTACTCTTCGCAATAACGCAATAAATGCTCTAAAAGATAATCAACTAAGAATAAAAATCTTTATTACTTTTTTTTATTACTATGATTATTATTTTTGTTAATTTATTAATCAATAAATGATGTAGTTTTAATATTCTCGTTCACATTTTCCAGTAATACCCATAACATATCCTTGTGAGCAACCAACATTGATTATATTCAATTTTGAAACGTTGGTAAATTGTGACTCGCCATTTCCGCTTGGTAATATAACCGTTTGATTCTTTGATTGATTATTATTGGAGTTTATGTGGCAACAAGAGCAACAAGCACAACAAAATCCACCGTTATAAGGACAAAATCGCTTTCCGAAACGTTGGTAATATCTTGAATATCCTAAAACTATTATCACCGATAAGATTAAAAATACGTTTGCCAATCGCATGTTGTCTTCGTCGTGTTAAATACCGAACTGGGTAATTCCCAATTATCATTTAAAATGTTATTTATCATTATTCAAGGATAAAGGTTCAAATTATGTTATTAATTAAAAAATTTTTTTAAGTTAAAGTGCGATTTACAACGCAATATAAATCTGTTGATAAGTTCTTATCAACAATTTCTTGTTTTTATTAAACGAGAAACCACATAAAGTTGATAAGTTGTCGCTGAAAACAGTTATGATTTGAAATATATAAAAGGATGAAGTTCCTAAATTATAATATTATTTTCGTTTTATTTTTCATTACAATTTTCGTTAATTCGGAAGAAGTAGATCCTGAAGTCGTCGATGTAACAACGATGCCAAAACCTAGTCCAAGAAGACTGTCTAAAATTGTGATGGTACCATGTCAAGATGGTTTTATACCAACAAATGGGCGATGCGTAAGGGAATTTAAACGTTAAAATCCAAACAATGCATTAATTAAAATCTGTATTTTGTTAAGTTGAAATAAATCTTATTTAGTTTTCTTATAATTTATTGTTTTAATTAAAAATGAAACAATACAACTTTAAAATTCTAACCTACACGAACCATCTGGAGCTTTTACATATCCTTCTTTACAAGGGGCAGTTATAATAGAAGCTGGTACAGCTAAATGAATATTTGACGGCGTGTGATCAGAGTTATTTGTTGATGAAGATATTCTATCAGTTCTCTTGTGGTGAATAACACTTGTAGATACCATTAAAAAAATCGTAACAAAAACCGTTACAGTAATAATTCGAGGTTGCATTGTGTCCGTTTGACTGAAAAGGTAAATGTAAACTAAAATAACTTGCTAAAATAGATAATTATCAAACAGATAAGGTTTTTATTTATCATTTTAAACGATTGTGATATCAAAATCGTCGTACAACAATATTAGGATCCTCTAAACTGATTTTAGAAACCACTTAAATTAATCAAGTTGTTTATCAGATTTTTAAAAAACATCAGGGGAAATCCACAAATAACGAAAAATAGAACGACACCGATGTCCCAACAAATCATTTGAATCATATCTTGATGCACCACACGCCAAACGTTTCGTAAACACCATTATTTCTTACTCGATTTTCGTCACATCAGATCGACGCTGCCAAGTCAAAACTACATAAACGCCAAAAGTACTATTTTGTTGCAATAGCATTTTTATGGTTCTCTGGCTGTGGTAGGCCTTGCGTAATATAATAAGATAACTTTAGCAGGGTTTGCCAAGATTTTGTACTCCTAAAGTCCAGTTCTCGCAGTATCTAGTCTATTAAGTGTGAGCAAGTCTGTGAAGCATTACAAAAACTAGGAGACGCAGAAGATTGCAAATTCTTTGGTTTTCATGTTTCTAAAGTATACAGAAATAGTAAGTATCAGGTCACAAAATCTATACCTACTAATGTAATCCCATATTTTTATTAGAGAACAAATACTGAACGTGGAATCTATCGAATGATAACAGAAGTAATAAAAGAATTAAACGAAGAATCAAAAGCATTTGACTCTCGAAACAATTATTCTCATGGTAGAATTATGAAATGCCTAATTGAGTCTTATTTGACTGATAGAGAAAAATACGTGCCAATATATATGAATGGTTTGACCTGTGTTTCTGATTATAAGCATATCAAATAAGAAGTATCACAGGGATCAATGTTGGGGCTCCTATTATTTATTATATATATGAATTCCTTGTCTGATGCGGAGGATATACTAGTTATATTATATGCAGATGATACCTCTAGAATCTGTTTTGGAAATAATATACTTGAAATGAATGTCTAAATAAATTATCCTAAATTAAATATCAATAAAACCAAAGCAAATCGAATATGACATAAGTAGTGCCACAGATAGAATGACGATACGGTTTGGAGGTGAGGAGCTTCCAACTACCCATAGTGTCAAATTTCTGGATATGGTGATGGATAAAAATCTTCAATGGAAGTAATATATTGAATACTTAGCATCTAAGGTAGGCAAAACTTCTTCTTCTATGATGGGACAGCCTTTGTCTCTTTTATCAGTCACTCCATTCCAGCTTAACCCTAGCAATCCCTTTTCAACACAGCATCCACCCATCCACTAAGAAGTAGATGCCTTCAGTCTTTTCGCTGTAGCAGATAGTGCGAGTCTTCATGTCTGTAATTCTGCAATTTTCAGCTTATATTTTTCTAATTTTGTCTTCCAGTTTTATCCATACAGTTCCGTGACCAGATATCCGGTTTCCAAATAGCCTTCTAAGGTAGCTAAATACGTATATCTTATAGAGCAAATTAGAGATAGAATATCTACTGAGACTGTCTACGCACTACTTAGATATGGCGTGATCTTTTGGGGCTTCTCTTCAGCGGTAAATAGAATTTTGTTATTATAAAAGAAATGTGTTAGAAATATTTATGAATTAAAGAGAGTAGACTCATGTAAAGAATGTTGTAAGCAAAGTCAGATACTTATCTTAATAAGAATCCACATTTTGGAGAGTGCTATATGTAAGACCATATCTACTACTGTATAAAGAAATGCAAGGAACACATGAGTACCATACTAGAAATAAAAGTTACCTTAACTTACCGATGACAAGATTTATCCGAATTAATAAAATATTATGTACCAATCTTCCAGAATATACATAGTTATCTTCCTGATGAAATAAAATCAACCCAACCCAACTCGTCTACTAAAGGTGAAGAGGTATTTGTATCAAAACATATCGCGGTTTATATCGGTATGGTATAAATTTCAGCACCTCGGCTGCAAAAGGTTTCGGAAAAAGTCAAGCACTTACAATAAAGAAATAAAAGGTTAAAAGTAGAATTTATTTAATAATTAACAAAGATAATGTTTTAACTAAAATTAGTAATATATAAAGCGTGAAAAATAATCTAACTTATTTAAAAAAAAAAAACAGTACAAAACGAAATTTTTTTTATCTAAACGTATAAAATCATTTGAAATATTAATTTTTCAAAATCATTTTCGCATTAACTTAAATTAAATAATTAAAATCTAAGTCACTAAATTAAAATTCTAATTTACAACCATCGCGAGTAAGTACATATCCATCAGTACAAGGAGCCGATACAATATAAACTGATGCAACTAAAGAATCATTCGAAGATACTTTCTGAGAATTTTGATTTTTAGATGAAGAAATTCTTTCGTTTTGTTTAACTCGCACCTCACTGGTTGACTCGGTTATTAAAATGACAATAATAAATATTAATGTTGCAGAAATTCGAGACTCCATCTTGTCTTTTCGAAGTAAACGTTTAATGTAAACTAACTTGTTATTCAACTTCGATTAATTTTAATGTATTGACAAAAATCATTCTTCACGAGATAAGGAAATTATAAACACAAAATATGTTATTTTCCTTTATAACCTAATATTTTTTTACACTTTTTCCCGACCTTTACATATCCAGCCATACATATAGGAGAAATAACTTCGGTTTTTTTCAGATTGCTCATTACTTTCGTTATAGACCATGCGTCTCCGTTTACTTGAGAAATTACTAGCGTTAAAACTAATAATAAAACAACCGATAATATCAACTTAGCCATTTTTGTTATCCGGATCCAATCAAATAAAAAATTTTTCTGCACTTTTTATTCACCAAAGCGTGGCCTGTTTTACATGGAGGTACTCTCACTATATATCCCGTTTTTATTGCGTTTTTGCTTATTTCAGATGAAACTCCGGACTCATTTCCGGAGCAAGTAAGAAGAAAACATGATATAACTGCTATAAACAAGATAAATCGCGCAGTCATACTGAACTGTGTTTTTAAATTGTAAAATGTAAGATGGTTGACTTTTATTTATTCTTCTCTGATAATGTTATCTTAAAACAAAAACACTGCGCAAATCAAGCATGCGGTTTTTCTGATAACTGCTTTAAGAAATTGTGAAATAGAATATTAATTAGATTTTCGTTTCAGGTTCTAAGAAAATTGATAACTTATTTTTCCTATTATGTGCTAAGCATGAAATGATTGAGAGCACATCGTTTAAAATTTGAATCAGGAAAGGGATTTTCTCATAAAATGAAGTATCGAATTAACATGAAAGAAACTTTACCAACATATGTAGGGAATTATCATCAACTTCTTGAAATTAAGAAAGAGGTTAAGAAATAAACCTGAGACCTTGTAGAAATTGAAAATTACGATAGAAGTAAAAACTATTTTCCAATATCGCTGATATCGTTAATAAACTTGAACGAATCATCTATTTTACCTCACTTAACTTGACACAACTTTCGGTATCGCACGGTGTCATTTTGAATTTAAAAGAATGCCTTTCAGGTTGAAAAATGTTCCAGCAACTTTCCAACATCTAATGAATGAACTTTTACGGTCTTCTAGACGACACTTTTGTTTTATTTATCTAGACGATATAGTCATTAATTAATTAAATTCGGCATAAATTATATTCGAAAAATTCGATTTAAACAGCATTATATTAAATTTGATTGAAGAAGAGTCATCAGAAATAGCCAAAAATACGTCTATTGCTCTAATTGATTCATCATAACTTTAACCAGTTCTTAGAAGAGAACGAGGCATTGGCCGTAAAGTAATAAAAATAGCTGACACATCAGGAAGATAATTACGGTCAACAACACGTCATGATTATGAAAACACTACATAATATTTGCTTTAGTTGATGCTAAAGCTTTTTATACAATGAATATGCAGCAACACGAATAACAAAACGGAGTTTAGTTCTATTTCTTCACTGGTTTTTATGTGGAAATGTTATACCGCTCAAATCGCGAATTATCAAGATTTGGTTTGGAAAAAATTAGAAATTATTAAATTTGGAAGCGACTCACCGAGTGGATGTTGTTTTCCTTGGGTTTTCCTTTGTAGCTCAGCTGGAAAGACAACTTAAATTAATTAAAAAAAATAAATTAATAAAAGGTATTTAATACGTTACCTTTTAACATCCACAAAATAGCAATCCGACGATTTCAACATCACTAATGTCACTAACATCACTAATATTACTAACACCACTAATGCCACTAACATCACTGACATCACCCAACACTTAGCACAAATATAACATATACTTATCACTTAATTCGCGTAATAAGTTTTAATTTTCGCAACTACTTTATCACCCCGCAATGTCCGGAAATCAACTAAAATGCGTTATTAGCCAACCAACATCCCAACATCCCCGCCTTAAATTGCAATGCAGAGTAGAAATAGTGGAGGTGAATAAACAAAAAATATAAGGATGCCGGAGCTCGTTTGAAAACTCAACCTTTCAATAAAAAAATTACTCGTTTTCTCGAAACATTTCAACTAAAACATACGTAATTTTATTAAAATAAATCGCACTAATTTTAATGTGCAACACATCCTGGAAAAGAATCAGGTGTCCAACAAAGTCTTATGCATCATCCATCATTCTTTCTATCATGAAATATAAATGTAAAAAAATCGTATCTTAAGAACTACTTAAGATAGCGCCATGAAATAAACAAGATAATAAAGCAAATTTGATAGAGATTTAATGCACCATAAATAATTTCTTATTTTCCATAATCACATGACGATATCATCATGAAAAAAAGAACATTTTAAAGCACATTATTATATTAATACAGATTTCATGCAACAAAAATAATTTCTGTCATCCATCATTCTTTCTATCATGAAATATAAATGTTAAAAAATCGTAAAAATGTTCCAGCAACTTTCCAACATCTAATGAATGAACTTTTACGGTCTTCTTAGACGACACTTATTTTATTTATCTAGACGATAAAGTCATTAATTAATTAAATTCGGCAAAAATTATATTTGAAAAATTAAAGCTTCTGAAGAAAATCAGTTCAGATTTAAATATTTTAACCCAAATCGATTTAAACAGCATTATATTAAATTTGAATGACGAAGAGTCATCAGAAATAGCCAAAAATACGTCTATTGCTCTAATTGATTCATCATAACGTTAACCAGTTCTTAGAAGAGAACGAGGAATTGGCCGTAAAGTAATAAAAATAGCTGACACATCAGGAAGATAATTACGGTCAACAACACGTCATGATTATGAAAACACTACATAATATTTGCTTTAGTTGATGCTAAAGCTTTTTATACAATGAATATGCAGCAACACGAATAACAAAACGGAGTTTAGTTCTATTTCTTCACTGGTTTTTATGTGGAAATGTTATACCGCTCAAATCGCGAATTATCAAGATTTGGTTTGGAAAAAATTAGAAATTATTAAATTTGGAAGCGACTCACCGAGTGGATGTTGTTTTCCTTGGGTTTTCCTTTGTAGCTGAGCTGGAAAGACAACATAAATTAATTAAAAAAAATAAATTAATAAAAGGTATTTAATACGTTACCTTTTAACATCCACAAAATAGCAATCCGACGATTTCAACATCACTAATGTCACTAACATCACTAATATTACTAACACCACTAATGCCACTAACATCACTGACATCACCCAACACTTAGCACAAATATAACATATATTTATCACTTAATTCGCGTAATAAGTTTTAATTTTCGCAACTACTTTATCACCCCGCAATGTCCGGAAATCAACTAAAATGCGTTATTAGCCAACCAACATCCCAACATCCCCGCCTTAAATTGCAATGCAGAGTAGAAATAGTGGAGGTGAATAAACAAAAAATATAAGGATGCCGGAGCAAAACGGGTTTTAATCATTTTTTGGTTTGAAAACTCAACCTTTCAATAAAAAAATTACTCGCTTTCTCGAAACATTTCAACTAAAACGTACGTAATTTTATTAAAATAAATCGCACTAATTTTAATGTGCAACACATCCTGGAAAAGAATCATGTGTCCAACAAAGTCTTATGCATCATCCATCATTCTTTCTATCATGAAATATAAATGTAAAAAAATCGTATCTTAAGAACTACTTAAGATAGCGCCATGAAATAAAGAAGATAATAAAGCAAATTTGATAGAGATTTAATGCACCATAAATAATTTCTTATTTTCCATAATCACATGAAGATATCATCATGAAATAAAGACCATTTTAAAGCAAATTTAATACAGATTTCATGCAACAAAAATAATTTCTTAATTGCCACTGCCACCAAACTTAATTGTTATGGTTTTTTAAACTCATCTCTTCCCGCTTCATTTTAACTAACAACAATTTCTAATATCTCTATCTATATTCTTCTATATTTCTCTATCTTTCATATATTCTAATTAACAACATTGCTGTAACAAATTTACTAACAAAATACACGTTATCTTTAACAATCAAAATATTATTATTAAGAATATATTAATAAAACAATTCTTATATGGTATACGATTCGATTTTTTCTTTCGACCAATTAATAATTTCTAAGAGTATTTGCCAGATCATAAGAAGGTCCAAGATCTGCAACATGTTAAATACTAAATAAATTTGCTTTAAATTGCTTTCATTTCATAGCTATATCCCAATTAGTTGTTGAGATAAATGCTATGTGCTAAATGTGCTGAAACTCCTCATTTCAAAAAAACATACACTCGAAAATCGTAGAAACGATCTACTAAATACATGTGGAACGGCCGGAATTCGACAAGGTGACAGCCTCAGTCCACAACTGTTTAATATAACCGTTACGCACAATATTCGAATATACTCTAATGGATCGGAAGAGAAACACAGAAATCATAGAAAAATGCAACACCCTGGACATCGTCAGATTGGTCCGGCAGAGACGACGAGATTGAAATGAACATGTATCAAGATTGGATCTGGCAAAATGTACAAGAGATGGCTAAACATATACAAAAAGACCGATAGGAAGATCTTCAAAGTGATGGAAAAACAGCTGGACCTCAGTATCACAGGAGAAGTAGAACCAGGAATAACGAAGCATCATAACATGTCATAAAGCTTTCAATAGGAAGAAGAAGAAGAAGATACCAAAGAATTAAAGGAAATGGGAAATTATAACACAACAGTTCGAGGATAAATGGAATGTTTCACGTGGTGCTGGTGGAATGGACGACTCCTCTGAGTAGTGCCTTCGATTCTTTCAACTACAAGTCATTCTTTAGCGTTGTACTCTTTAAAGCGGTTTTACATTGACAAATATTAGATGGTGATGTTGAAAGAAGCACATTGAATCTGCCTTCAGCTACGAACGTGGAAGTTCTATTTATCTATCTTGGGGATGATGCTTTTTCATAATCATGTAATGTTATGAATGAAAGTAAAACAAGTATTTTTATCTATCGGTTAAAACGGAAAATGCATTTGGAATATTTTGGAAATCAGGTAACAGTAACAAAAATAACTTTGACTGAGATCAAACAATCTTTATAGCACTAAAGAATGCTTTTATGTAGAATCTGAGACTACTGGAGATGTTATTCAAGGACGAAACTTATTGCTTTGTTGGCATTGCCAATCGCCATAGTGGCGATGCTATTTTCGGGATAAGATTCTTTTCAATGTAATTATTACACTGCTCTGCTTGAATATGACGAAAGTTTGCAACGTCGACAATTTTCGATGATCCGAACTATTGTGTCACCCACAAAACTTGATAGATTGTCTAGAATTTGAAAGTACCGAGGGAGATGTATGTTAAAGGATGTTCTATTAATTATGTCTATGAATTATTGTAGCATCTTCATGTCCACCCACATCAAATCATCATCAACCGACAACAAAAGTACTCATTACTAGTACTATTAATTCAGATTACAGCGTCCATTTGGGAAAAGATCTTCAACATAATTATTTTCATATACATATTCCAATTTTTTTTTTATTGATATGTCTACAAATGTCTTAATAATCATGTTTTTTTTGTTTATAATTGATTGTAAATAAGTTAACTTTGTAATATTAAAATAAAACTGAAAGATTAATCTAGAAATGGATAACTTCATTGAAAAGAAATTAATTTGATGAAAATTTCATAAGAATTTACAATAAAATTAATTATTGACTATTTTAAATAATTTTGTATGTTTAATTGTAAGTTATATTGAATTGTTTCATTTATATATTTTATACATTACCCCCAATAAAATTTTTAATAAAAAAAAAATTCAAATATTCTATTTAGTAATGGTACTTTAAAATTTTACACCTTCCATAAACATTAATGAATACTGACGATGCATTTTAGCAATTTTGCACATTGCGAAAAGCCGGTACCAATAAAAACAACTATCAATTAAACACCTCTGCTGCTACAACCTCCATTTACAAACGTTCCCGGTCTGAAAAAAATAAATAAAAGGCCCTTCGTTTTCATTCGCTGATAACACAATCGGGTAAATCCCTTAAAATCGCATTCCGATGAGTCAACTGAAATAACAATACATTGAGAAATGTGGGTACTTAACCGGAAACGATAACATTATTTGACAAGAGTGACAAAAATAAATAATAAAATACTTTTAAAAATTTATTGAACATTAACTTAATTAACTTAAATTATGAAAAAAATCTAATAAATTAATCAATAAATATAGTCTTAAAAATACATGTCCTCTTTTTGAGGTTAGAGATGATTCTGATCTGTATCAGATTCGATTTGAAATCGTTTAAAGATATCGAAACACGGCCTGGAAAAATAAAACTAGGTTAATTAAGTTAATTGGATTAAAACATCATGAAATATACCTTCTCCTTAATTATAATTAATACCTTCTAATAAATTGGTCTACATTTCCCAGTGGGATCTCGAATAGTTCCGGACAAACACGTGGCCTGAATAATATTCGCCGTGTTTATTGGAGGATTATGTTTAAAAAAGGTATCAAAGGTTATCCATTCACTATTAGTTTTATTTACGGCGATCGATAAAAATACTATTAATAAACAAACTAAAACTTTTGCTTTACAGAACGACATTTTTTTAACACTCGATATTATATTATACCTTGTCGAATACTAACTAAATGTGACAATCGTCTGATAAAGGTAGACACCTGATAAAGATTGGAATGTAATATTGTTTAAACATATTAGTACACTAAATTACATTTTTTCCAAGAAAATAATCATAAAGTAATCAAAACTAAAATAAACAAATATGATTTTGTAAAGAAAAATTTATTTCAATTCAAATGATTAATGGGTAGAAATAATCGTTTTCGACATAGTCCTCTGATAAAAACACCACCATTACAATTCACGAATATAATATGTCTTGGCTGAGGAACAATTCTTAAAAATATTATTTTAATTAAATCGATATAAATAAATGTACAAGACATCATTTTTACCTGTTTTCTAAGATTTTTTCTTGTTGTATAACGTAACCTTCACTCGTGACAACACCGATTACAAAAACGATAAGTAACAAACAAGCAATACCTGGATTTGGCTTCATGTTTGCGTTTTCGTAAAAAGATTGAATGAAATGGAGAGTTTCGAGACGAATTTTTATATCAAACTGATCACGCTGCACCTGTTTCAGATTATAAACTGTTTACTTTTTGAGTTACGCATTTGAAAGATAAAGTATTTCGATAAACATTAGGTAGGTATATACTTTATTAACAATTTATAAAAAAATCTAGAATCGTCGGCAAATTTCTTAAGATTGTTTATAAATTTATTGCGGTAAATATTGGTGGTTCTTATCTTCTTGTATTAATATTTAAAGAACTATATTGATAATAATGAATCTATTTTTTTCAATTTTACAATGTGGGTTGGTCACAATGTTCAAAAGAAGTTCTATTTAGATTAAAAAGGTCTTGACCTATGCGATAATAAGGACAAAGATGAATGAAAGGAAATCTCAAACAGCCAATTTTAGAAGCAGTCTTAAAAGAGATCTTCCAGTTCAAAGTCATTTTCCGTTTATTCTCGAAAATGTTATTATTTTGTTTTTTTAATTTTTTTAGTTTCGTTTCAATCATTTTTGGTCAATATTATCCAAATTACCCAAATTATGGACAACAACCTTATCAAAACATCCCAACGGAAATCATCGACGTACCCACTGGTGTTAATCTTCAACAAAGATATCCGATAAACAACTCACCAAATTTACAACATTATAAACCAAATGCTTACGGATATCCTTATCCATACAATTATGGAATGTATTATCCACAAAGACAACAAACGTTTCCTGCATTTCCTCGACAACTACAACAACAGAATTTTCAAGGATTTAAACAAATTCCAAAGAACATGTTTAAAAACCCCACCCCGGAATTTCCAAACGGGTACTACGTAATACCCGGGAGTCAACATGAAGTTGTTGTACCACCTGAAAGTGGTAAAATATCGCCATCCAATGCAACATCCAACGAAACAATTCAAGAACATCCAGAGTATGTAATAAAACAAACCAGTCAAAGATATCAATCGGGAAATCAAAATCCGACGAAAATAACATCGAGTACCGTGGAATATAAACCCTTCCGCACCGTTTTAACGAGATACATCGATAAAAATGGAACGCCTATTATTAAATTGGAGAACGAAAATGGTACTTTGACTTTGGCTGATAAAGGATCAACCAGTCTTAGCATTAATAACGGTAAACTTGAAATTAACGGAGTTGATCCATCATCGAAAACAACCACAATAGAATCTGATTATGTTACTTCTGAACCAGAGAATGCTACACCAAAAGATGTATCTACATGGATTTAAATGATGGGGCGTTTAAATAATAATAATAGTATTTTTTATTAATCGTTTTTTTCCGTATGAATTGTATTTTGTAACAAATAAAGAATTTAAATAATTTTAATAATTTTCATTTTTCTCACTACAATTATCTTTTCAACCCTAGAAAATAACTACTACACAAGCGTATCCACTATTTAAAACGTCTATACAACATAGGTTCACCATGGTTTGAAACATTTATTTCTTTACACAGCGTATTGACAACAACTTTATTAATACCTATAAATTCTTGCTGTAACAATGAAAGAAATATTTTGTCTTCGCCGGCAGATTATAACGATTCTACACCAACCACACTTAAATCTAAAGTAACTCGTTCGTTCATAATTTGGTCAACACGGTACTTCAAAGTAACTTAGAAATATTCGATTTTCGCTTGGAATCCAATGACTCTGAGCTACTTCGTCATAATTTGTTGACTAATTTACAAATTAACCAAGTAGTCCAGCGTAACATCTTTACCAAACCATCCATTACAGAACCAAGTTTACTACATTCCAAAGATGTGTTTGGACTATAGAGGAAATTAAGCACAGCGCAACCGTTATTGTTTGAAACATTAGTACTGCAATGTTTGCAGTGGTACCTTGACGAAAATGTGACGAATACAACCATGCTATATCTGCCAGATTAAAATTCTATTAAGAAACACTTCCCCGTGTAGGATGACGCCGCCGTATCTGATTGCCGGTACGGCTGAAGAAGGGAAAATGGGAAATGGAAAGTGAAATGTTATTGCGAGATGGATGGTGACAAGGTGAGATTGGAATGGGATGAAGTAGAAAGGAAAAAATGGTGTCAACACTGCGATGTTGGCTATATTCGGTGGGAGGGCGATAGGAGAGCGCAAGATACTAGACACAGTCACAACTACACATGCGGAGCTTCAAGCCATCATCAAGGTATATATTATTGATTAACAAAACAATGACTGTGGACTGTCTGAGAAGGCATAAAAAACATACGTGGTAGTAATAATAGGTCGTGTACTGGGATGGATGGACTGAAGTAAGGATGGTATAAAGCGAGTGGATAATGTGACAGAGAATTAGTGGAAAGAGAGGCTAGGAACCTATTTAAGCAAAGTATGTGTTCAGGAAGAAAGTGTGTAAGAAATAAGGGAAGCATGGAGGATGACATTAAGGGACCCGAACTAAGACTGGGAAATGTAAGGAATTGGCTAAATCGATGACCATTTATAGATTATCCTAGCCACTTTTCGATGTACGATCTTCAAGTGTAGCCCATATCTGGATCTCGTTCTGGAGAATATTATACGATAAACGTACCAGATACGGAAACAATAAATCCAAGGACACTTATTTGCTCACAGAAACCATCAAAAATCCAAATTACTCGGGTAAACGAAAAATAGAAAAGCCACTGGAAGCAAGTCCATAGTATTAATGGGCACGATAATTGATTATCATCACCCTAACTCATTTAAGCCGTTCTCTAACATTAATTAAAGAAGATTTCTCCACTGACAATGTATATCTCAGAAAGTCTGCATAACACTGTTGTTTAGCTACAACTATAACTACTGTTAACTACTAAAACTCCCGACGTAATTTAATTATAGGTGACGACAAGATAAAAATGAATAGTAAGAAAAACGTTCAGAAGAGAGTAGAAAGTATCACAATCGGATAATATTTCTTCAAAAAAATAACCTCTATTACCTCGGCCGCAAGCGACCTCGGCTACCATTTCCTTACCAGTGTCAATTGTATTAGCTCTGATGGTATGTCTTCAACAAAGTAGCCTTTCTTGCCTCGGCCACAAGCGACCTCGGTTATTATTTCTTTAATAGCGTCGATTGTAGTTGCTCGGATAATATTAAAGTAGTTTCTAGTGCCACCAGTAAGTTAACCCTTACTGCTGGGATTAAGACCAGCAAGTGTAATCAACCCCCGCAGCAACCTTATTCTAAGTTTGAATAAATAACAAATCATTTTTTTTTATTTACTAATAATGATCAAATGTTTTGTGTATCTCTATTAGTGTCAATAAGTTGATAACTTCTCAAGTACGTGATGCCTAAATAATGAAGCAAGAAGAAGAAAACAATATTTATTTGGACTTATAATAAAAATAATAACAAATACGAAAAGAAATACATATATAAAACAAATATAAAAAAGAGTTCAAAAGGGCTATAGACCTTCCTGCCCATTAATGAAGCAATTTAGTGTCATCTTGCTAAATTGATCAATGTGCGATCATTAAATTTAAAGTCGAAAATGGCGCCTAAATAATTTACTGTTGAGTCATAATCACACTGTTAATTAAATAATTGCAGCGAATTGTGTTTATAATAAAACAGATAAGATTATATTTAGAAAGGTAACCTGCATTCGCATAGATTAAACTGGAAATTAATCTGAAAGTTGTGCGTTTAAAATAATAAACTAAGACTATTTATTTTTGAATAATAAAAAGATTACAAAAAAATAATATTTGGTATAATTGTAATTAATTAAAAAAAGAAAAAAGTTTCCTTGGTTTCTCCGTTGGTTTTTCTGTTTGATCTTCATCTAAATTATCGTAGTCTTCATCATCTTCATCTACAGTTGCTAAATCTTCATCATTGTCATCCAAATCAACATTTTCATTTTCATACTGAGGTTTATAATCGACATAATCATTTACGTTGATTACAATTTGATTTTCATCATGACCACCATTATTTTCTTCGGTACTATTATTTGTATCGTTTGGAACTGATTGTGAATTTATTCCATCACGGATATTTAAGAGATCAGTTAAGTCAACTTTTTCTTCACTATCCTTATTTTCCACTTTTTTAGTATCTTTATCGACGTTAATATCAAACACAGTACTAATTCCTGGGTTAATATTTGGAGAAGAAGGAGGAGTGTATTGATTTATTGGAACGAAATTAGGATTTTCGTTTAAATTATTGATTTGATGAAATCCTTGCTGAGGATAACTATAAAGGTGGTTAACATCATTTTGGATTTTTTTGTTTAAATATTTGTAATAATCAGTGAAATCTTGGAGTTTTTCGAATTTGAATTGGGAGGAAAGTGGTTGATGAGTAATTTGAAATCGAGGTTGAACCGCAATTTGGGGATATGATCGATAATAGTTGTTGTATGGTGCATAGATTTGGTAATTCGGATAATTAGGGACGTGATAATAATTTGGATAATTAAATGGATAATACAGACCTTGGGCGGTGGTGAAAATTATTGAAAAAATAAAAACTATTTTAAATCGAAACAACATTTTTCTTCTTATGTAATTTACCAAGTGTTTTTTGAGACTGATGTGATTTTTGCGATTCAAAGGTTGTTATAAACAACAAAACGCTGACCTTAATGATAATAAATATCTTATTCTTTATTCATTAATGTAATCTTTTTAACACAATAATTTATTAATTTTTAACTTGGTATATGTGGTTGCCTATAAATAAATATCATCACAAAAATAAGTTAAATTATTTTTTAAACTCCTTAAAATTGTTTCCTACATATTTGTCTTTGATCCAAAATTTGACCCTGTGGACAATTTTTTCTAACGTTTACTAAAAATCGATTATCCAAAATATCTTCAGTAGCTAAAAAATGGCAAGAATAATTTTTTACCTTATTATATTCCTTACTTACTTGTCAATATTGGATCATCAGGATGAATAATCCTATCAGGATCCATCTTCGTTTGTGAAACTGCATTTGTTAATAGGATGAGTAATAGAAAAAATAAAAACCACGTTCTCATCGTGTCTAAATTTATACGTCCTCCTTTTTCTGTTGGAAACAGCACATCCACACGAGCATTACCAAATGAATAAGAAGGTAATTAGCCTTCGAGGAACTTCCGAAAGGTCGTGGAACCGGTTTGATCACGATCGGATTCTCTTTATAAGCATTGAAAAAACTCGCACAATGTGATGTATTGTTACGGCAGAATAACAAGCTTTAAAAAATGGAAACGAAGATTTTAAACGTTGTCATCGTAACACTAATTATAGTTATTGCGCCGTTAATCACCCCAACAGTTCAAACGAGCATATACATAAATGATAAGATAGAACCGGCAACGACAGACGGTACGATTTAATTCTTATTTTTTAGTTGCGTTAAATATAAATTAATCAATTATCATGTTTATACCATTTTGCGAAATTTATGTTCGTTTAAACGTTTTGTAGTGTACTCGTTTCGTTATTTACTTAAAGTTCGACCAAATTGTCCTGAGGGGATGAAAATTACTGGTAGAGGAATTTGTAGGAGAGTTTTAAGAAGAAATTAAGTAAGTAAGAAATTTACTACAAAAAATGTTCTAATTTCCGTTAACATTTTATTCTTTACAGGAAAACATGTATTCAAAATTGTTGATTTTTATTTGTATATTAACGGCGTCGTTTTGTGACGACAGAATATACTTTATAGATAACGATAATAATATCAAAATAGTTACTACTACAGCGGGTAAGTTTTAGTTTTATAAATTACGTTTTGTTGCTACATTTTTGTTTTCACATTAGAATCACCAATCACTATTGAAACTCGATTTATGGTAACCGCTCCAAAACTTCAAACCAGGAAATGCACATATAGTAATGAAAAATTTATTATGGGAAGATGTCGACCAGTATTTGGAAATTAATTAGAATAATAAAAATTTTATTAAAATTATCTAATTTAGTTTAATTCATAATGTATTTAGTTTAATCAATACTAACTCACTAAGTATTAGCAGATCATTATTTTACAATAATTATAATGATGATGATGATTACATATTTATTAATTAGAAAAAACAAAAATGACGACGTAGTGACATTTTGATTAAAATTGCGCTTAAGTTTTAAGATTGGAAATGAAGGTGACTACAAACAAGAAGAAATTGAAATTAATCTGTTTTTAAACTGATTCTCGCATTCTTATTAACAAAATTAACAACATGTTTCAATTCATCTGTTGCGCTTAATGAGGAAGCTTGATAATTAAGTTGTTGAATGCTGTTAGATCAATTTGGATATCAACCTCAAATTCATATTATTCTACGTAAACTAGAGACAATTAAAGACATTGGATCGTGAAATTAATATTGTTTATCGCCTCAAATACAATTGTGTGTTATTGAGAGTTGTCATTTTATTCCAGATGACATTACAGTAACAACAACTTATTACGGGAACTTCCTGCTTAAGTAGTTAGCAGACACATAAAGTTAAAACACTGAATTCAATTAACCAGAATAAAAAAAAACTTATATTTTACAAAAACATAAAGCAATATTCGGATTTCAGCCACAAAAATGAAATTATCAATGTATAGGTACAATATTTTCACAAGCTCTTTGATGAAACCGATGAGGTCGAAGCAAATGCCAATGAGAGTAATAGCCTCAAAACATGGAAGCGAATTGAGGTAGTGCTGCGGAAGCGATTAAAAAACTAAAATGCAACAAAGCTCTAAAAATCGACGAACTTTCAACAGAACTAATACAAGCCGGAGAAATATGGAAGACGGAAAAGTTCCTTAGAGAATATAAAATCGGCATAATTTATGCTGTATTCAAAAAAGGGGATAAACTGATTTCCTCGAATTATAGACTAACCATATAGAATAACCTTGCTTGTAATTATGAGCTTGCAAAGTGTTCATGCAGATAATCCATAGACAGCTAACTCCAGTTGCAGAAACGATCATAGGAGATTACCAAGCTGGTTTTAAAGGTAATCGATCCATTATACCGATTATATCGATTACACAATGGCTTATGATACAGTAAAACGACAAGAAATATGGAAAATGCTGGAAGAGTTCCAAATTCTACTAAAGATACGAAACCTGATAAGATATGAAGTGAAAGACACCAAGGGTCAATGTAAAATAAGCAACCTTCTGTCAGAGGAGTTTGAAATTGAACGCGATCTGAAGCAGGGGGACGTCCTATCGCCGCTAGTGTTTAATCTCGTCCTGGAAAGGTACGATATACAATCGTCAACTTCAAGTACTGACGTCTGCGGATGATGTATCAGTTATAGAAAGAAGAAGAGCAGCGTTAGAGGAAGGCCTTATACATTTAAATGATGGTCGAAAATACCTGGGTCTGCAAATAAGTGAAAAGAAAAGCAAATATATAGTAACTGGGTGTAGATTACCTCAACAGGGAGCAGTCCAGATTAAAGGTAATCTTCAATAAACTTCATCAGAAGTTGTTAAACAGGTTTGAAAGAAAAATATGAGACAATTAAGAGAACTATCAATGAGAAAGAACTATTCATAAGAGAACTATAGGAAGGCCCAGAACTATCAACGTGGATTGAAGCCCAGAGACTGAGGTGGCTGAGACACGTGTAGAGATTACTGAGAGAGATGGTGCGAAGAGTACTCACTCAAACACCAGAGAGCCATGGAACAAGAGGAAGCCCAAGGGGGCGATCGATGGACAATATTAGGGAGGATTTGTGCGCTGCAGATGTATAACTGAGGCAATTTACTCAAAATCGAGACTAATGGAGCCGTATTGTGGAAGAGACCAAAGCTCATAATGAGGTGTGCTGCAATAGTGTGTATGTATAAAGGCAGTGTGGTGAGATTGTAACTAAAATATCATATATAAAAACTACCGTTATCGTCAGACTCAATGTTCTTCTTCCACTTTTTTTAGACGTGTCTATACAATTCTGAATTGATAGGCGAAGTGTGATGTACACTGGAAGCTGTCCTTCCACCTTTTGGCTATTCTTCCTGATGTTTGAGTACCTGTTGATTTTCATTCTAATATTATACGCCGGAATTTGCTCTAATGTATATATTCTTCTTTCTGATGCATATATTTCTTATCCGGTCTCTTCTAGTCTTTCCTAGGATAGTTCGAATCGTTTGAATTCGGCAACATTTAGCATGCTCCTAATTTTGCTCGTGTCTTCCCGTTTTAGTTTTCCCGCAAGTTTTACAAGTTCTTACCTTGTTGTCTATTCATATCTATTAATATTAAACAATTTCTCTTAAACATCCTGAAAAATCTGCTTTATTGATCTGGTCTCAAAATAATTTTTCCTCAGTTAATGCGAGTCGTGCTAGTAAATGTAGAATTGTTTGAAACAAGGTTCTATCAGAGTTCAATTCTCGGTTTCAAATTGACTTAATTAATATGAAGGTCAGTTTAAAATGAAACACTTTATATGAGAATATTTTTTGGAAATGTTCTTTTTAAATAAATCCATTCTTAAATGTTATTTAAGTAAATATTTAATAGTTGATAAGAAATGTCTCAAAACGCAATTAAACACATTGTTATTAAACATTTAAACCTTTTATTAATATAATATATAAACATTGTGTAATATTCTCATTTACAGTAATAAAACGAGGAAAAACTCTCTATTTCAAATATCAAATTTATATTTTCGTGCATAAAGAACATTTTTTATCTGAATCCAAACAGTACCTTTTTGGACACACTTTTCCTTGAGGTAAGGATGAAATCTTGTTGCACTTAACGCAAGTCTTATCCCAGTTCCGACAGTATCCAGCTAAACAAGGAGAATCTATAAAATGTCTCGGACGCCTAAAAATAAATTAAAAGTATACAATCAATTACTAAATTACTAACTTACATCTTGAAAGAATTATAATCACTCGAACTTTTTAACGCAACCAAGTTATTTTTTGTTATATAGAATTCTGATGAATATTGAGTCAAGCAGATAATCATCAAGATAATTCCCACGAATTTTGGAAACATTCTTAGAATGTTCTTCCCTGCTTGTAAATGAAATGATAAAAGTAAAGTGACTCGATTTCGCAATGCAGAGATGTTAAGTATTTGTTACCATATCTGTTTTTACATTTAATGAGATCTTATCTTAATACACAAAAAAATTAAGTAGGTAGCACGTAATAAATCAAAAGTAAATGCATGATAATAGTTTATTTTTAAAATTAATAAATTTGTCTACAAACTCCGCTTCGGTCTCTTCTATATCCGTCAGCACATGTATTAACGTTTATTATACGTTTTGCTTCAGCATCGTATATATCTTCTTCATTTGTTGTAAGTGGAATTAAATTTATGTCTTGATCATTACCAGCTCTAATATCGATCATATCCACAGGATCAATTGCTATAATTAAAAAAAAAGAATTAAATTCATAAATTATTGTTTCACTTACTTGTCGGTATCGACTCCGTCGTTATTGTTTTAGTTTCGCATCCTCTATGATCTTTAATTTTACAGGTAAATTGATGAAAAACATGATGAGCTTTATCAAAACCTTGTTTTATATGATCAAAAATCGGCGTTGATTCACATTGAATGGCGATTAAGGTTAAAAATAGCGATAGAAATAAAATTTTCTGCATCTTGTAATGTTTCTTGTTGATTTAATTCAACTAACTTACCAAATAGGAGTTTATGATAAACGAGGATGTTATCTGATAAACTTTTAACCTTTACGTTATTTAGAACGAAAAAATAAAGGAAAAAACGAATTGTTTGAATCATAATTTATTGACAAATTTAATAAGTAATGTTTAGGCCCGTTTTAACACTTTCGTTTTATAAATTTTTTCTGCATTACTTCCCGATCGAATGAAATAAGGTAAAACTTCAATAGGAGCTGGGTAATCGATTAAAGTTTGACCACCTTCGTAAATTTCATCTGTGTTTGCATCTATCCATGAACCAGTTGGTAAGTAAACATCGCGAGTTACAGCGTTTTCAACAACAACAGGAGCTACCAAAATATCTTCACCCAATAAATAAGCTAAAATATCGAGAAAACGGTTAAGAAAGAAGTTATACTGGTGATTAAAAAAATCACAAACCGGTGTCTTCTTTTAAAGCATCAGAACTTAAGGGATCAACCCACCAAATTGGGGGGTTAACGGGATAACCATCCGTTACAGATTTTTCCATTACTCTTATGATTTCATCGGCGAAAATGGAATGGATTTCAACGAATTTTTTTGAAATTTGAATAATTGGATACTAAAATCAAAGATTTATTATTGAATCAATGTGACAAATTTGCGAATACCTGATCGGTTTCAAATTCCCAAGGAACATAACTAAATTGGATCGTTGGCATAAAAGTGTTGGCTTGAAGCCATCTTATATATAATTCTGGAGATGGTTTAAAAATGTAACCATTTCCTCCAACCATATCAGGTAAAACCCTACAAAAAATTGATAATAAATAAAAATTTAGTTTAAAATCCCTTTTTGTACTCACATTGTATAACCATTAATATTCATTTGCAATAAAGTCGTTATTAAAGTCCTGAAGCCGTTATTTGTTCCCCACCTCGAATCTTTATCGATCATTCTCACCAAAACAGGTAAATCTTGAGTTCTACAATTCAAATAACTTTTTAAAGCGATTCTTGTTGTTTGTGATATTTACCCCCATCCTGTTCTGACTTCAATTAATTCACCAAATTCGGCGCACATTCTCACGTAAGTTTCCGTTAATAAACTGGGGGATAATTCAACATCTCCCGTTAAATCGGGTATTTGTGGCGCCCAAGAAGTTTCCCCAGCATCAAATTTGAAAGCATCAATATTATAAATCCATCTAAGAATCTTTAATCCATCGACAAACCATTGACGGGCTTCCGGATTTGTAAAATCAACATGTTGAGCTTCACTGGTATTGCTATTCCACCAACTGGTTAAAACAGAACCCTCAAAATTTTTAATGAAATAATCTGAAAGGATTCATTTATCGATCAAATAATTACGATTATTCTAAAATGTACTATTTGCTAATCCCACATCGGTTTGATAACAGTCTATATTTACAAAGGGGTGAACCCAAAGTGAAACCGTGAACCCTAATCCTTTAATTTGTGCAACGGTATCGAGAATATTAGTAAATTCGGGTTCTCTAAACGTTAGGGATCCATAACAAGTCTCCCAGTAATCATCAATTTCGAATTGTCCGGTTGGAAATTCATAATACACGATTTCATTTGCGTATTGTAATAAAATTGAATCATTTATCGGCCTTTTGTATCTTGCCCAAGTTGACCAAATCGGTTTCTTAATTATTCTCCTATCAGGATGACCTAATCAATAAAAAAAAAATAATAAAATTAATCTAATATTTCAAAATTACCAGTTGGTTTTCCCAAAAAATTTTCAACTGCATGAAGATGACCATCCCTAGCGTTATCTCTAGCAGAAATTGAATATCTTAAAAGATTTCTAGTTCTCGTCGGTGCAAAAGGTGCTTCAACCTTAGCGCTAAAACAAACCGCATCATCTCGTTTACTATTTTGATCGATAAATAATGGAGTTCGACGATCAACAAAAATATAAGCCCCGTTCGAATTTAGCCAATAAGGCTCAACAATCGCGGCGAATCCATTTTCTTTGGGTACATTCGCAAAGTTGGTTAATGTTAATTTTTCAATGGGCCAATATTGATTCCATTGTTCGGGTCCTCCGAACCAATTCGTCGTCTCCGCGTTTAAATTAAAGCAATCCGTGAATGTTTCTTCGGTATCAAACGTCGACCAAGTTAACATAAAGGAATTTTCGATTGTTTCGTCGATAGTCAAAATAGTTTCGCCGAAATTGATACAGTTATCGGTATTTTCGCAAAATGTGGGATTTTCAAGGTTTGTTGATAAACCTATGTTGCCAGATAACTTTTCGATACCATCTAAAATAAATTCATAAAAAAGAAATTATAATAAAAACGGGATTTTTTATTTGACCTTTTAACAAAGTTAACGTCAATCCATCGTCGGAGTCCTGTATAATCAATGTCACATCGTTGTTTACTAAGGAAATTAACTCCGAGTTAACAGTTGTAAATGCCCAAAAAAGTGCTAAAAGTAATACGATAAAAAAATGTTGAGATTGTTTTGAAAGAAATTACTCACCTATGTAGAGCATCATTTTCGGAATTGTTATTAAATTAATTTTGATAAATCAATAGTAAATATAGGTTCTTCTTATCTTTTCTCTTAAGGCGAAACTCTTAAGATAACGTTACAAGTAGATTGTTTGTTTAAAAATATTTTCTAATCTAGTACAACAATCGTGAAAAAAAATGATTATGCTTGATTTGAATCCATTTAGAAATTGCGATTTTTTTTGAGACATTGAAACATTTTGAAGTTGCTCGATAGTTAAAGAATTTAAGAGGTTTAAATTATTGTCCGGGTGTCCTTGCAATCCGGACAAAATCAAAATATATAAATTCATTTTATTTTCATTTTATGTAAATTTTATTGCGTGTATTCACTTCTTCCCCGAAGCAGTTTTAATAAATATACTACCAAATGAAAAAATAACACCACAGAAATATGATTTTGCTATATTCATAAATTTAGATATTAAAACTGTTACGAACAGTACGTTTAGGTACATAGATAGAGAAAAATACGCAAAAATAATAAAGGAGGTGGAAACTCTTGTTTGATCGAATATTAATGTAACCCAAATTGTTTTTTGACCAAACATTAATAGTAGCTCTTATCTTTGGGATAAAACGATATTTGATAGTTCCTTAATAATTCATTTATCGCTTTTGATGTCACAGAAAGATATGAAGACATCCAACTATATTGATGTGATATATTGATATATTGATGATGCCCTGCACTACAAATAACCTATTGTATTATAAGATGTACCTGTCATCACTGCAATCACCTTGATATGATGATAAATGTTTTAACTATTCAACAACCTTAGATTTCTGAATCCGAAGTGCATGGAGAATCAGAATAGTAACCATAATATACTAGACTGGAGGTGATGTAGCTATTAAAATGGCTATTAAAATACGTTGTAATTGTAACCCTCATGTGCAACCCCACAAGTACTGATGATGAATAAGGTTAATTCTGTCCAAAATGAACTGTGATGTTGAGGAATATTTAATAACCTTCGCCTGTTCACTCCCACTAGATGATGAGTCAGAACTTGCCACTTGCTACTTGCCATTGGTGATGCACTGAGCTTAGAACCGTTAAAAGGGATGTCAAAACTCTATATTAGACTCCGACTGAAACTGCAATAAAAGCAAAGTAAAAAGAATTGCCGGATAAGATAGAGGTTTGGAGGAGAATTTGTAAAAAGTTTACAACTTTTAATGAAGGTGCTTGTTTAAAAGTTAATAATTTCTTTTATTTTTGTTAATTTCTATTTTCGTTTCGTATTAATTTTTATTCATTTCAAATTTCAAATTACTTTCCAGTATTTATGTTCTTTATGTAAGAAAAACGTGTTTTGTATTGTGAGTTCCAAAATTCGTCGTCTCGTTTCGTTTTCATGTCACTTTTGGCCAAATAATCTTCAAGTCCAGTCGATTTTCATTAAAGTTGTTCTATTGCATTAAGTTCGGGTTTTTATATTTCATTTACGTTTTAGTTAATAAATTCTTTAGTTAAGATTAATTTCGTGTATGTTTGAGTTCGTTGGTAAGTACATTTTTTTAATTTCTAAGAAACAATTTCTACAACTAAACTAATCATTTTAATCGAAACAGTGCTCTTTTCTGGTTTTGTATGCTCCGTAGTTATACAGCAATAACATACCGATATGAATCAGTTGTTAGTAAAGGACATCTGTGTTCCCACAGAACGTGAAAACGAAAGTGTATCAAGTCTTCGTACTTGCTTTTGTGCATGTGCTGATAAAACCCTACCGTTCGTGAATCGTGGATCAACAAAAACGTGATTCAGTTGATCTGAACGAGCTGCTCATCAAGAGTTTGAGTTTGAGTCATTGGTTTGAGTTAGATTTTTGGTGCTATCGTACCCCAAAGAATGAATTTGTTGCCAAATCCGAAAGAAACTGTGGTAGGTTAGAAATTGGATGCGTTCTAAGAAGTAATTAAAGTCAGGATATTAAAAGGAAACCGCCATTCTCAAATCTCGGTTTCTGTCTGGTCAAATCTGGTTCATTAGCATAGTCTTGTAACTTAATGTTACGACTTTTCATTGTATTACTGGTTGCCATCTTGGACTGGTATACGCGAGCGAACTTACAACAAACAGCTCGATCTAAAGCCTGAGCATCACCCTTGCCTGTGATGTCAGCAGCTTTCTCACAGATTGCAAAAAGTTTGTGCATTATTTCCGACAATTTTCCTGTTCGCCTAGAGCTCGCGTAAAGTCTCGTCATCTGTCGGTAACTTCAAACATTTATTCACCTAACAAGAGTTTGAATTTGTTTATGTGTAGACTCCATTTACTGCATTGCATTCTATTTTGAAACAGACTTCTTTGCCAGTAACAACGAGGTTGGTGCCCTGTACATAGAGTACTAATAACAATATAGGAAACACAGCCAAGAATTTGATCCGTTTCCTTTTCACAATCTCTCAAGCCAACGGGACACTTTGGCAAACATCCAACTGTTGCTCGCAAGATGTTTCTTAGTGGGTACACAGAAAATACTAAAAGCTATGAATATTGTTTAATTTTTGTTTTCATTATTTATGTGTTACGGTTATTATTAATAATATTTCGTGGTATTAGGAAGTTGAATATTGGATCAATAAACCAGCCGAACTTTTGGCAGGCCAAGAATGTCTAGTGTGCTACACCAACACAAAATCAAATTGAATTTGCTCTAACCATTGTGTCATTCTCAACATTGTTTTAATCTGTAAAAATGTTTCATAGATCTGAAAAATCTCTGAAAAACAAAAGATTCATTTAAACTCAGATTTAAATAAAAATTTAAGTCTTACTAGATCGTATTGTTCTGTTTATTTACATGCAATTAATTCATTACCGAGCAATAGTTGAGCAGAGTTGGTTCTATTTATTTTAGATATAGTACAAACACAAATAAACAAGTTGTAGTGATGAGTTCAATTTTGAGTATTTACAACTCGTTCCATACTCCACCAAAAACAAACCCAACCTAACATCATTATTATTATTCTTAAGAAATCAATTATGAAAAAATGTTAAACCGTTAAATTGTGCTTATAGAAGAAGGTTGACTTACAAAAATTAGTTGAAAATGTTTTAAAATAAATTTTTATTTCAAATCATAAAAAAATACAAAAAAATACAAAGCGACAAAAATTAATGCGATTTAAGGAACTGAAGAATACTTAAAAAAACACAAATTGTGCATTATCATTCTCCAATTCTTATGTCTATATCCGGCGTATACGGTAGATGTATATCATCTAAAAACACCAAAATAAACTTAGTTATGAATCACCAAAAAAATATGTATATATTTACCTTCGTGAATTTTATAATCGTCTTTAATTGTAACAACAGGTGGAATTTTAACAGTTGTTGGTGTTGTTATTAATTGTGGTGAACTAGAAGTAGAACTAACACTTCCTGGGTGGTTCGGATGACCAACACACCCTTTATGTTTGCGAATTTTGCACCCCAATTTATGCAGCTTAAATAACCCGTCTTCAATGCGATCGTTTATCTTATCTTTGAGCCGATCCAATTTTCTGTTAGCCTCGACATTTTCATTGAAGATTAACACAAACATGACGACAACAATTAAAACTCTTAACAACATTGTGAAAAGAACAATTTACACGATGTGCGTATGAAAACGACAGATTATGAACTGATCAAAAACCGGAATAACCTCAGCGAAACGATAAAATGTGGTTGATTGGTTAATAAGAAATATTTCTTTTCGTCCTCGAGGCATTATGAAATGGGATATTTTGCTTTTTCAGATTGTAATTATTGCAGTAACGTTTTAAGTAGTTTGGATAAGTTGTGTTATATAATATTTTGTTTGACCTTCACGTTTTTTGTTAAAAAATGTTTTCGTGGAATAGCAATAATTGGTTTTAATTATGGATAAAGATGTAAATAACCTATTAGAATATGTTAATCATTCTTGTATGTATTGGGACTTTTTAAATTTATTTCTTTAAAATTTCTTAGAATTCACTTGAAAAGTTCGCAAATGATTCACACAAGAATGTTTTTTCCTCCCAATTTTACAACTTAACCTTTAAACTTTTTATTACAAACCGAATCCATGTTAAAAATTTCAGTACGTCAAAACAGTTTTTCAGTTCTCGACACACCAAAAACCTTGTTGTTTATTGTTATGTTCGTACGTGTCGTAGACGATTTACGACTGTTGGCCCTCCTGAAATCGTTTAAAATCGTTCACCAACAACCGACTGGAGGCAGTTTAAATTGGTCTCCGACGTGCTCCGGGGGTGGCTTGAAACCCCCTGAGGACAGGACGCCGCCTCTTGATGGATAAGGCCTGTTCTTAAGTCCCGATTTAAATGCATTCCTTAACTCCGTCGCTTTTAGACGATGGAGAGAGGAAAGGTTTGGTAACGAAGCCGGGGGTTTCAAACCTTCGTGCCGTCTGTTTTCCAACACCCCTCTTACTCCCCTTCCTCCTCTTACAGCTGTCGATGAAGACAGCACTCGCGCTAAATTAAGTTTTCGAATAATCAAACCGGATGGGTTTGGCGTTTTTTTATGTCTCAAATTTAATTATTTTATTTACAGTGGAATTAATGGGGATGATTGAAAAAAATGGTTGTGAATTTTTTTCTTTGTAATATAAGGAAAAAGATTTTATTGCGAAACTCGTAAAAGTTTATCTAAGCCCGGATTGGACCTTAACGGAAACTAACGGGGGTGTTTTTCCGGTTTTCCTTGGGTTTTCTTATACCGGACTATTTTAAACGATAAATATCACCAGGGGTTCAACGGGGTCGTTCCTTTTATTTTATAGGATGTCAGTAATCCAGAAAAACCATACATCCCTAGAGTACAACAGGTACAATAACTTTCTAGCGGATCATGTTGCTGTTTTCGAACACCAAATATACTATATTGATTTTTATAAAGTTTCCTTTAAAAAAAGTTTCTTAAGTTTTATTCAATATTATAATTACGGTCTTATTCATAAAGAAAGATTTTCATCTGCCTCATTAATTATCAAGATTTAGATTCAGATAACACAATTTTTATAAAGAAATAAATTGTGTTGCAAACGTTTAAATCACAACCTTGGTATACAATATAACTTTACGTAATTTTATCTTGAATGGTCTAGAGATTACTGCACACTTATACATCTAGATAGTGATGGAACGAATAGTGTTTTTGCGAAAAGCTGGATGCCGGATAATCGGATATCAGACCGAAGGGGATGCCAAATATCTATCCGGCCATTATGGTTATAATTTCACATTATTGCGATATTTGAATAAAAATGAAATTAATAAGAAAACTGACAAGATATGTTAACTTATTTGGATCCAAGATACAAAATGAACTTTTTTGATGGTGATTTAACTCACGAAGAAACTCTAAAAAGAGGATACTTTAATTAATATTTGGCGAAAATTTTATCAATACTTCAAATATTGTTTTCTCAAAAACTAAAAGTTATATTTCAAAACGAGTTGGTTCATTGGAAAGAGGACACTTTTATTAACAACGATATTGTTGGTTACAAATACAACGATAGTAACATGTTATTAAAAAAAAAATTTTATTGCTGTGAGATCACACATCCAAAATCGACTACGTTCGTAAGTATATAAAAGAAATCGTTAAATTACTCAAAATGAATCGAAAAATATACGTAGAATAAACCTCGAATAGCCAAATTTGAATATTGAAAGCTACAATGATGATGCGAACGAAAAACAAAATGACAAAATGACCTTTGGAGTTGAGGTGATAAGATTGAACCAGAACTACTGCAAGTGGGACAAAGAATCATATTATAGCGATAAGCCACCGCGACGTCACAAGATGCGACGTAAACGACACAACGATAAAGATGAAAAATTACATCGACCTTATTTTCATACATAAAAATAAAAAAAAATCGACTACCTTAATTTTCTTGCATAATTCATATCGATCAATAAAACATTTTAATAAATAGTTTGTGCCATACAAGAATAATAAGCATTTTGATGCAGGAACACGAAGATAACCAGACGATGAATACTAAGTAGATTTCCCCGCTAGATTCAACTTAGTTTCATTCTGATTCCAACTTGGTGGCAAATTGGTTTGGTTTGGTTCTCTTTGGTTTACTTCAGTACACTTTGGTTCACTTTGGTTCACTTTAATTTAGTTTAGTTTCACTTTGGTTTTAAGTTAACCCCAATTTCCTCGAGAAACCTCCCAACGTCGGGGGCACTTTGAAATTCGTCACGTATGAGGCGTTTGGAAATGACAATGTCTTAAGAGGTGGAGCGTTTTGCTCCCGATATGGTAAATTACATGTCCTCGGGCGCGAACTCCGACCATTTGCCCATATACGTGAAACGCCCCGCCGTAAAGTTTCTTTTTTTACTTCGCGCTATTTTGTTTTTTACTTTTTGTCGTTCTTTGGCCGCCCACTACACGTACTCCCTCGCGATTCCCGCTTAAGATATGCAGATTTTACGGCCGTTACGGACGTTACTTTTAACGTAACCAACCCCGTTATTAAAGCAAATTTAAATATCAAAACAAATATGACGCGGAAACGCAATAAAGAGATCGTATCTTTTATAAGGGTAAACAGGGATTTTGGAATTTTTGAGAAGATTTTATAGAAAGTGTTGTAAAGAAAATTGTAGGTATTAGGTTTTCATTTTTTATGAGATGTTAAATTTTATTAACACAAAATGATAAACACAATCTTTTAAGCCTTTACAATAAAATTAGCAGTAATATTGGGATGAATATTTAGTAACAAATTTTAAATATTCTTCAACAGGAAAAACTTCGCTAAATTCCATATCGGTACAAGCAACTCCATTAATATTCATAATATCAAATCTTTCGTAGCTAAAATCTGATACATCAACATTAACTTTGCGTAATTCTTGGATAACATTTCCCAGTTGATAACACCTCCATAAGTTATCATTTATTACTAAATGTCGTAAAGTGGGGACGTTTTGATGTAATTTAATCGTGTCTAAATATTGAATTCCATTACCAGAAATATCCAACCGAGATAAAATTCTTAATGGTAAAATAAGTGACGAATCAAATTCCGAAAAATAATTGTGTGATAAATTTAGAAAAACCAAATTCTTTAACGGTGAAAAAACTCCAATAGGAAACGTTTTAAATTTATTATTCGACAAATTTAAATCTCTTAAAGTTTGTATGTTGCTAAAAACACCTAATGGTAATGAACACAATTTGTTGTTTGATAAATTTAAAATTTCTATTCCATTAACATTCCAAAATGATCCTTTTTCGAGATTAATAATTAAATTGTGTGAAAAATCCATCGACATAACTCCATGTAGACCCTTAAAAACGCCCGGTGGAATCGTAACCAATTTATTATAACTAATATAAACAGAATTCGCTTCGAAATTATTCAGAAATCCTTCCGTTAAATTTTCAATATTATTAAATTCCAAATGTAACTCGTAAACGTGTCTTAAACCCGCAAAGGCATTTTCAGATACATTAATAATCTTATTACGCTCCAAATGAATATGTTGCAAGTTTCTTAGATTTTCAAACGCGTGATTTGTAATATTTTCCATGTTACTTCCAGTTACGTTGAACATCAGCAAAGCGTTTCTATGTGAAAATGTATCTTTATTAAACACTCTCAAATCGCAAAGTTCACAGTTGAGGCGATAATCGCCATAATACATTTTTGGGAAGAATTTTCTTATTTTTGTACATTGGTAACTGTTGGTTTCATCGTCAAATGTACATCCTTCTTTCACTAAAGCATGAAATAGTCCAGCTTCAATACAAAGAGGTAAAAGAAAAATGGGTAGGTATTTCATTTTTATCTGAAACAAAAAAGAATGTATTGGTTTTAAATAATCTGAAATTTATTACTAATTAATATAAAGATTATGTTGTTTTGAAGATATCTTAAACACTGCTCATTAGACTTAGTCAACGTGACTCATTTCATGTTAGATATAAAATTTTGCAACTTTGGAGATTACAGGAAAAAACAATTTGAATAATTTCAGATTACTAGAAGTCCAGAACATGCAGAATAACAAGAATGTCCATTTGCAAGCCATACGGCATGCAAATACAATACAACTCTTAGGTTTTCTGGCCATTTTTGAAATTTTTCCACAAAACCTTGCCAAAATAATATGTAAAAAAATAACTTCGTACTAGATTAAACAAGAGGGTGCATATTCAGATTGAAATGAAATCTAAGCAGGAGTACCTCAGGGAAATGTCCTTGCACCTCTACTGTATTAAAAAAAACGCAGGTAAATTTTGAAAACTGCGAAAGAATCCACGGGAGCAAAGAATTAATGGTTTATTGAATATCAACTTCGCCAGACAAGTGTTATATAAAGTGGCAGAACTCCAAATGAACCAAAACAACATACTATAGTAAAACCTGTACTCAAATACATAGTACAAAGTCGGCAACCTCGACATGCCATAATTGTTCGTAATCAGTAATATTGATATACTGCTGATACTAGTAGTTGTGAAACAGCAAATCGCAAGAATTTGGTAGACACTTGGGTTGTTCTCTAAAAAGATGAACATTGCAGAAAAGATGTACGAAGCTTACAATACAAAAACGCAGGTAAAGTTTCTAAAAATTTTGAAGACTACGACGATTTGAATCCTTCATGCGAAAGAATCCACGGCAATAAAGAATTAACGGTTTATTGAAACATCAGCTTCGCCAAACAAATATTACCTAAAGTGCAGAACTAAACATGAACCAGAACAACACGTGACTCATTATTAGCAATGAACCATTATTTGCATGCTCATGACAAATGTTTCAATCCGAGTCTAATGTAATGCTTTTCAAAGCCTTCGTATACAGTGTTTGGTATCTACTTCTCTAAAAAGTTGAGCATTGCAGGGAAGATGTATAACACAGCCAATACACAAAGCAATAATTTACTTGTCGAAAGGTCCAGCTTTTATAATGTTTATTGTCGTTCACCTCAATAGTTCTATTATTTAGATTTAATTGGACACTTAGCAAGGTATATATGCCAAATAACAACAAAGGAAAATGTCCTGGCCGATGCACTACAACCGCTGTCAAACAGAGAGCTTTCAATTCCCTTTATCAACTATTACACCGTCTAGACGTTAATAAAAGCGAACTACAGGAAGTAATTACAAAGTTGCCTCAGTGACCTGGTAGTTCTAGTGGAAAACATAGAAACATCCACAATTAGAAAAGCTTACATCGCCGAATGGATTTTCCGATTGGAAGCGAAGCACAATGGCCTGAAATGTAATTCTAACACTCATAATTCTTAAATAGGAATTACAACAAAGGAGTCGTTGTAGCGTCAATATATTGGTGTAAAGTGTCACAAAAGCTATCTTAAATATTGCTTCGAAGTATGATAAATTGTATGTTAGATAACATAGATAGAAGAAGACATTTCAAGCATCAACGTAATACGGAAATCTGTTCATATTATCTATAAATTAAGAAAATACGACTTTTTTAAAAATTAATAACTAATTGAAAACATTTCATTTATGGTAATTTAACGGATATACCATATTAATTCCATTTAAGCTTACATTAATTAATAATTTCACCAAATTGTACCGTTAAAATCAATGAGCTATTAGTTGAAGTCGGGCCCAAAATAACATTTAATTCTATTATAATGAAATAAATTAAATTAGAGCTTCCTTTGATGTAAGTGATAATACAACATAATATAGAAAAATAGATTAATGTAAAGACTTACCTTTATTAAAACGAACTTCTTTAAGTCGCTCAAATAATTGGTTGAGTGGATAAAATTGTAACGAGTAATGTCTAAAATGGTAATCAGACTATTGTTTGTTGATTTCCGACCCGTTTAATCGGGTCAAAAAATTAATAATTTAAACCTACAAACTCGTCCTCGCAATGGCCATTTTTAAAATACTTATGATATATCTACAATGTGCTCCCAAAATTGCAGTTCGTCGAAATCGATCGAATAAATCAAATTAGCACCGAGGTTTTACGTTATTATGTTGTAACCCCTCTTGTAGCACAGGACCGTAATGAAGATGATTTGAGTCAAAAATTTTATCATGCTTCAAAACTACGCGAAATTATTACTATTTTTTAAACGATTAATTAAAATGTATAATGTGAGTTTTGAAATTATTTGGGTTAATTAAAAGGGTGGTTTTTAAAACACAATTTATGATGACTAAATTCGGTTCTGCCCGTTGTATGAATTACACCACTAAATAATAACACTGATGCGGGATATACGAATATATTTAAACGTTTAAATCAATTTAAAGCTAGATTAATGTGGCCGCTATACAGAACGAACAACTCCACCCTAAAAACACCCAACACCCCTTCAATATACACTGTATTCCAATACAATGTACAGTACGAATATTATTGGGTGGTAGTTATTAATTATCGTTCGAAACTGCGTGTTCCATCCACGCGTCATGTTCTCTCGTTATGTTTTATAAAACGGGTTCGAGGGGAGTTTATGAAATCCCCCGTGCCATATTTTACAGAAATCGGCCGGTCCCGAACGTAGCCCCACAGCATTTGACACTTTGCCCCAATAAAAAAATAAAAATACGTAAAGCTTTAACTCAAAATCGGTGCGCCGCTTTATTTCGATTCTGACGCGAACAATAAACTTTCATGCAGCTTTCCAAATAAACGCATAAATAACGACATTTACAAAACCCATTTTATAGATATTTATATATATTAGCTTTATATGTTTATTTTTTATTATTTATTTTAAAACTTTATTTTCCAACCGAGATTTTATTGTTGAATTCGACTCATTTTAAATTTAAATTAATTTTAGCTATAACAGAATCTATTTCCAATTATTAATTTAAACCAATAAATAAAATTGAATTGACTTTAAACATTATATTTCAAAATATTCAAAAGGTTCAAAAGTTCTTTTATTTTATAGAGCCACCTATACACGTTATAACAAATCATATTATTAAAAATTTTATCAATAGATGTCACCTCCAATTTTCTAATTTCTTTCTAAAACATTATAAATTAATGCATTATTTATTATTAAACATATAGAACGTAGATATAGAAATCAATTTTAATTAATGAATTCGTTTATTAAAAAAAGCTTCTAAAGTATAAATAGAATTTAACATTTCACCGAAAGAGGTCACTTCAATTTGTAAGAAAATTCAAACGTCAAATTAACATAACCTAAAATTATTAAAAAAATTAAATTATCACCTTATTTTGAAATTTGGCTCATAATGATACACAAAATTGGTAAGATTTTATTTTTTACAACAAACGATAACAAATTTAAAACCATCTTTTAAAGATAATTTCTTGGGGCATGCGCTTTTCGGTTGTTGTTGTAAATCCACATGTTTTTTAACAACTTCTTTTTAAAGCCGGCATTAAGAAGTCTTATTAAGGAGTGTAATTGTTTAAACTTCAATTCGATAATATCATTAAGGAAGATGAGTGATTTATCTGCGGCAAAGAAGAAAGCGGCCGAAACGGCTGTAAATGAGTACGTTTTTAATCGTTGCAAAATTGGAGTTGGAAGTGGTTCAACGATAGTCCACGCGATTGATAGATTAGCGGAAAGGGTTCAAAAAGAAAATTTAAATATTACCTGCGTTCCTACATCATTCCAAACGAGGCAATTATTAATTAAATATGAACTTCCAGTAAGCGATTTAGAACAAACTCCAGTTTTGGATGTTTGTATCGATGGTGCTGATGAAGTTGACGCTGATTTAAATTTAATAAAAGGAGGTGGAGGTTGTTTATTAGAAGAAAAAATAGTTGCTAGTTGTGCTAAACAACTTGTTATTGTTGCGGATTATACTAAAAATTCAAGAGCTTTAGGAGATCAATACAAGAAAGGAATTCCAATTGAGGTTGTTCCCATGTCTTATGCTCCTGTTAAAAATAAACTTAAATCGAAATTTTGTGGGGAATTTGTGTTGAGAATGGCTGTCATGAAAGCAGGGCCGATTATTACTGATAATGGTAATTTTATTTTGGATTGGAAAAATTTTGATCAAACCTTAGATTGGAAAGCGGTTAATAAAGAAATTATTCAAATCCCGGGAGTTGTCGAAACTGGTTTGTTTATTGGTATGGCTAAAAAAGCTTATTTTGGTATGGTTGATGGAAGTGTTAAAACTCAAGAGGGTTAATAAATCAAATTGTTTTGATATATATTAGATTTTGTGTTAAATATAAAATGTTACAACTTCTTTTTATAAACACACCTTATTTAGCACCTAAATAATAATTATTTTTTTACATATTAAAATTAAGAACATTATTTATACACACATTCTCCAGCAATCCAAGTTTCGAGTACATCTAAATCGTCATTTAAAATTATAAAATCAGCATCTGCATTAAAATTTAAAGTCCCTTTTTTGTCAGTAATCCCAAGTACTTGAGCTGGGTGTAAAGTTGCAGTTTCCAAAGCGTATTCTTTAGAACATCCTAAAATTAACGATTTATTTGATTGTTTTTTTAATAATTATTTTTAATTTACCAGTTGATTGCATAAAAATTTGTACGCATTTATTCATAGTAGTAATACTGCCACATAATGTATCAGTTCCTGCAATGTACGCTTTATTATCGCGAATTTCAATTTCTAATTGACCAATATTATGTTTTCCTTGTGCTAAACCCATAGCAGAAATTGCATCTGTCACCAAAACTAAACCTGATAGGAATGAATATCAATAAGTAATATAATAAAACAATTTATTAATTTTTTTTACCATTTGGATGCGCTCTATGAGCAATTCTTAAAGCAGCAGGGTGAGTATGAACTCCATCAGAAATGATTCCAAAATAAACGGTTTTTCCTTCCGGTAGTTGATCTGATGTTAATAATCCTACTAAACCAGGATCTCGGTGATGGAACTAAAAAAATAATAATTAGAATTAACTTAACAAATTTTAATTAACTAGGGTAGCCTAAACTCAACCTTTATGAATTTTCGTATAACAAAGTGGCCAGTAATTGAGAGTAATTTCATTATAGCTGAAGTTTAATGTTTAATATTTCATATATAACATCATGTTAAGTTACATAATATATCATATATGAACCACTGCGATTTGTGTTGTCAAGTTTAGTATCGATTCCTTACAACTTAATCCTAATCACACAAAATCACACATTCTCTGCACTGGGTTTAGCTGAGGTGACTTGTAGCCAAGGCATTATGGTATGTGATAACTAGTTTTTTATGGATATAGTATTAACTAAAGTTTTTTTTTCACAAATTTTATGCCTTAAGTTAAACTGAGGTCGTTTGCTCTTGAAGCATTGCAATGTTTTGACAAGTTTTGTATGGATGTGGCATTAATTGTAATACTTAATCAGTTGATGTCACAGTCTTAAGTAGTTTTGCATAAATGCAATATCTACTATTGCATCTATGCGATTGTTTGTCTCTGTTAAAGCAAACTTAATAAATCTACATTAACTGATTAAGCTAAGATCGCTTGCGACCAAGGCACAATAAAATACCACATCCACTCAAAACTGATCAACGCATAGCTATACTTCCGTCGCAAGTGACTTCGATTAAACCTCAGCTAGATAATCAATGTGTTCGCTCAATTATATCGAAGTGCTTACAGCCGAGACAATACAAATAATGCCATTACTGCCATAATGTATTACCTAGCTTTAGTTGCATATGGTATTAAGGGGGTGTGCCACCTTTGAAATTCTTTTTGTTTAAAGTGTATTTTAGACTGTCTACAATGAGAATCCATTGACAGATGGATTCTCATTGTAGACAGTCTATTCTCATGTTTTTCTGTCTAATTGGAAATTCCAAGCTACCTATAACTTTTTTGTCTTTCCTTTTTACTCGATTATATATATGTAGGTATTTTGACATTAGTTAGACATTGAGATTGCTTTTCGCACATTACAACGGCGAAAGTTAACAACGAGTAGTGTTTACCAAGTGCATATAATACATTTGCAAGTATGGGTGGTAAAAAAGGAATGCAAGATTCTTCAAGTCGTGCAGTGAGACATACACTACGTGGCAAAAAACCTTTCAATCGTCATATTCTGAAGCAACAAAGTGAGAGTGTGTGACCAGTGCAGCCAAGAAGTTAAAAATAATCGAAGATGACTACAACGTCAACTTTGATGCAGCATTTGGATACCATTTCATTGATTTTGTTTCTGCTTTTAATGCACTTTCTAACATTGCTGTTTGCAAAGAATGTGGATCAAAAATTAAATTTTTAGAAACATCTCAACGTGGTTTAGGTTTCAACGTGTATATGTGATACGTGCTCGCCGCGTTATACATTATTTTGCCCTTTAATAGACAATCATACCTATGACATCAATCGAAGATTAATATTTGTTATGATAATCTTATGATTAAGTTTTCCCCTTTTATGTGTTCAAAGCAAGTTCTTCATTCTTTTTACAATAAAGTAATTGCGAAAATTGCACTTGCAACAAGAGCCGTGTGTGACAAATGTTTTTTGAACGCAACCAGAAAAGAACCAGAATCATCCATTCAGGACAACCAAGTTGGAGGAATAACAGTTTCTGGTGACAGAATATGGAAGAAGAGGGGATTTTCATCTCTACTGGTGTAACCACATTGATTGGATGGTACGGGTAAAATCTGGAAATAAAGTCAAAAATTTGCAAAAAGTGCAGTTACTGGAAAGGTAAAGAAGACACTGCAGAATACGAAGATTGGGTCATAAAGTAAAATGTGATATAAACCATACCGGATCTTCAGGAAAAATGAAAGTGGATTTCGTGATAGAGATGTTTTAACGATCCGAAGAAAAGGATAATTTGAAGTACTGTTTTTAAATAGGACACGGACACAGCAAAAGTTTCAAAGGTATTATGGACTCCAAACCTTACGAAAATATTAGAGTGACAAAAAAAGAATACATCGATCATGTGCAAAAGCGAAATACGTACCCATATTTACAAAATTGAAAGAAAAGGAACAGGTCTAGGAGGCGAAAGAATTAACGGGGAAATTAATTGATGAACTTTCTATATACAGTAGAACCCCGATTATCCGTGCGCGGATTATCCAGGCTGCGGATTATCCATGCCATAAAATTTTCATAAATTTTTTTTTATTTCTAATCGATCGCCGGAAACTGGTCAAAAACTAGAGATTTTAAACAAAAATGAAAAGTTTATTCATTTGAAGTTTATTCCCGAAGTAAAGTCGTATTTGAAGAAGGAAAAGTTGCCTCAAAAGGCCCTTCTTCTTCTGGACAATGCTCGTTCTCGTCGCAATTAAGCAATTCAAAATTTTTTTGTTCTTTTCTTTCCACCTAATGTTACATCAATTGCACAATCAATGGATCAGGTGTCATTCAGACAATGATAGGCATTTACCAAAAAGAATTAATAATGAATTTGTTGGATGAAGTTGACCTGATGAAGTTTTGGAAATCGTTGACGATCAAAGATGCAATTTTCAGTGGCAAATGCATGGAGTGCAGTGACAGATACGACTATTAAAAAAGCTTTTAACAATATAATGACAATGGAGGAAGATGAAAGCATTGTCTTAGCATCTAGTGAGGAAGAAACAACTAAATCTGAACTAATTGCATTAGTACAGAACGCCAATGAGTTCAAGGGAACTGATGATAATGAGATCGAAAAATGGATCCAGTGTGACGAAAATGAGGCAGAGTATCAGCTTCTTAACAACGACGATATAGTTGAAGAAAAGAAAATATTTAATTTTTCGTATTGATCAACCTTCTATTGATTCTATTGATCTTACTCTAGGGAAGTACATAGCCGTTTTTCGATGTATCTAAAGTTGTCTCTTTTACAATCACTTTATGTATGGTTTTTATCAATAAATATGACATTTCTGGAAAAATTGGCACCATTTTGCCAAAAATGATTATTTTTTAAAAATCCTACATATTTCCCTAGTTTTTGAGTTTAGAAAAAATTTAATCGTTCTCGAAATTTGATTATTCGACTTCCGGTTTAGGAGAAATCCTGCACATCAATTGACCCTGCATGATTTGCAAGCCTAACATTGCAGACATCTAGCGGGCGCAATTTTAATTACTGTTAATAAATAAAATACGTTTTCAAAACTAGAAATTTTGCTTATAACAACCCCACAACCCGTTTTTAGAAAGCATTTTTCCCCATGCAGCAAAAAAATTTTAAAGGTATCTTTATTTTCAGGTCTCCAAGGTGGCATACGCCCTTAATCACTTCATGTCATGAATTCATCATGTTAGGTTTTGTCAAAGTCGTTTATGGCTTAGGTGTTGCAATGCATTGCTTAGTTTTGGGTTGATACATTATCAATTGCAATGCCTCAGCCACAAACAATATTAAATCCATTTATATATACAAAGAACATTGATGATGATGCATTACAATGCCTAATTTATACAGAACTACAATACTTTCTTTGTATACTTTGTCTATATGAGAGAATAAAAAACTTACAGGTAACATTGCATTGAATAAATGTGTTATAAAAGTTGCCCCATTCTTAACAGCTTCTTCTCCAGAGCTTAAATCAGCCATAGAATGACCTGAAAATAAAAATTAATATTAAAGAAAAAATACAAATTAAACACAGTGAAGATTATTTTTATTGGTTGATGATGAAGTCAAAAAATCTTAACTCACCAACAGAAACAATAATATTTCTTTGAATACATCCCTCAATGACTATTTTAGAATTCTCTAATTCTGGCGCAATTGTGATGATTTGAACATGATCTAAAGTTCCATACATATCTAAAACACTTTCAAACCCCTAAAATTAAAAAGAAATAATTTTCACTTCTCAAATTAAATAAAACAAGTACATTTTCGAAAGTTTTGATATGCTGCTCTGGATGAGCTCCTTTTTTCTGAATGTTAATAAATGGTCCTTCTATATGAACACCCAAAATAGTGGCACCATCTTTATTTCCTTTTCGTTTTTGTATTTTGGGCAAAACAGTATGGTAAATTTCTTTTGGTGATGTAACAACAGTTGGACAGAATGATGTTACTCCATGGGCTAATAAACCTTTAGCCACACAATTAATTCCTTCTTGAGTATCATTTAAATTTGAGAAATCATAACCAAATCCACCTTAAAGGATATTTAACAAATAATTCTGATTATATTGATAATTTTAATGTACCATTTATCTGTAATTCTATAAAACCAGGTGCAATTATGGCTCCTTTACAATCGATCTGTTGGTTAGCTTGGATTTTTTCATCAAAAAATACTTTTTCTGGGTCAATTATTTTACCATCTCTAATCCAAAAGTCTTCTCTAATAATTTTATGATCCCTGAGTATCCGGCAGTTTATAAATTGCTTTAGTTGCGAAGACATTTTTTCAACACTGTTGTATTAAAAAATTTTCTACAACTGATTCATGAAGGTCACAAATACAACAATTTCTTTGATAAGCAAGTTCATTACCCTCAATTTAAAAATGGGCAGGGTATATTTAATACTTACTCTTTTGTGGAATGTCGCGAAACGGTGAAGCAAAACTATTTACATACCTAATCAGCCTTATTAGCTTAAGTAACCATTATAATGTGTTTTAAAACACATTGAAATTTAGAATTTAGGTCGAAATCGATAAACACAGCTGATATCTAACCAACACGAAATACACTTGACAGATTCGTGTTTTTCTTTGTATTTTTACTGTAACATCATCTATAAAAGCATAAACATGTTGTCGGTTTATTTGGTTTAGGGAAAATTCGATAAATTTGTGTTTATAACCCGATTATTTCCTATTGAGATTAGATAAAATGTGGTTTTACTAAAGTGATAACTTAATATTTTTTACAAGTTCCTAATGATTAAATTTATGTTTATTGCGGTAACAAAAGATGTTTGAACATCATTTAAGTGCAAATTACAAATTATTATAAGAAATGTTTCGAAATTTTGAAAAGAAATTTTGATTTATTAATTTTTGAATTAATGTCATGTAAGTGAGGAACGTCATTAATAGATGGCGACTCCATCGAGGGGATTAAAATGCAATTATTTAGTTAAGTTTTATTTTAAATTACATTTCTTTTGTATCGATAACTTTAAAAATAACCTACGATTACATTTTTATTAATAAATATTAATTATTAGAATTTATTATTTACATGTCAAAGATAACCTAACCTCAAAAATTCGTAAACGTCAAATTTCAATCCATCAATAATTTCCAAATTTTTTTAATAACTACGTTTTAGCAATATTAAATAATCTTAAAACAACTTCTCTAAATGTAATTATTAATTAAAATCTAAACAAAATATTTGTATAGGTTGAAATAACCTGACAACTGACAAACTTCAAAATAATCAGTTCAATTTATTGACCAAACACCCCAGACATAATTCAATCATAATGGTAAGGTTTTTGTGTATTATAAAATAAGCTTTATCTACTTTAATTTATATTTTAAGACTTCGCAAGCTGGATTAAAAAAATCAATTGCTGGGAGAAAAAAAGGTTCCCTACCGAAATTCGAACTCACCGAAGAACAAAAAAACGATATCCAAGAAGCTTTCGATCTTTTCGACCACGAAAGAAGCGGCCACATCGATACTAAAGAACTAAAAGTCGCGATTCGCGCCTTGGGTTTCGAACCAAGAAAAGAAGAAATTAAAAAAATGATTGCTGAAATCGATAAAGACGGCACTGGAAAGATATCGTACAACGACTTTTTAGACCTTATGACGATTAAAATGGCTGAAAAGGATTCGAAAGAAGAAATATTAAAAGCGTTTCGATTATTTGACGATGACGAAACCGGTAAAATAAGTTTTAAAAATCTTAAGAGAGTTGCTAAAGAACTCGGAGAGAATCTCACTGATGAGGAACTTCAGGAGATGATTGAAGAAGCCGATCGGGATGGAGATGGAGAGATTAATCAAGAAGAGTTTTTGAGAATTATGAAAAAAACTAGTTTGTATTGAAGGTTTGTAATGAAAGAATCTAAACTGTTCAAGGATTGTGTTTAATTGTATGGACAATCTGTGTCTGAATCTTTATAATCTTAATATTGCAGTATTTTTTTATAAAACGTTTTTCTATTCCTAGTCAACTTTAATATGTCTTTGAGATAATCTTGTAATAATTCATTAAAATAATTGTGGATGTTGTGATTTAAGTCAATAAATATGGATCTTTAAAAGTTGGTTATTTTTGTAGTATTGTATTATAATCTGTACTATCTGGAGATATAGAAAATCTAGAAAGTAGTAGCGTACACTCAACTTTTTAGGGTCCACTATACATTAATTGAGTGTTGATGTTATGCAACAGTCAGTAAAATATTGATTCCAATCCTATAAGAGATGATATCAATTTCAATCTAGTTGGAATCTCAAAAGAGGGATGTGATTGAATAATTAGTATCTATTGAGAACTTTAAGAATAAGTTTACCAAAGATATTTATGATATTTTAACATCAGAAAATGATCAGTTTTATGTTTTATCACAAACATAATTGGTGTACAAACTAAAACCCTGCTATGCACAGTTAGTAGATAGTAAAAACTACCATAAACAATTTAAGCATTATAACATATAGAGGGGTGCTGGTACAAAGAACAAAGTAATAAAGTTTGTGAACACATCTGTTGTAACATTGCTTTATCACATACAATTCTTTTAGAGAAATTTACACCTTTAATTTTGATAACAGTAACAAACAATTAATTGAGTTATCTAATATTATAAAATAATGTTAGATACTATACACTAGTGAACTTCGATACATTTTATTGTTCTTTACTGTTCTTATCCTAAGATATCACTTGTAAAGTAGATACGAAGTAATTTTAAAAATTCTTGATTTCAGATAACCTCATTTTAAATTTTTTTAAATTATTTATTTAAATCTTTATCTACCCGGTTCAAACCTATTGAAAACGATAACCTTAACTTAATTAACAAAGAAAATAATCAATATTTGTATGGAATAATGAAATTTGGATGAAAATTTACAAAATTAATTTGAACATATTGGAAAATTTATCGTTGAAATCAGAAGAAAATTAATCGATATTTGAAAATTGATTCAAAAGAGCATCAAAATTACGAAATATCACGCATAATAATAAATAATTTAAACATTTTTAAATAATAATTTGATAAATTAAATTAGAGATATTTCAAATGTCAAAGTTGGTAACATTGAAAAAACTAAAGTACAAATTTCAAACCGATGAATTTAACCAATCAGGAGACGTTATTTGAAAATTTAACATTCGAACAACGGAATTTATCAACAATAATGGTGGTTTCTGTTGTCCGAAGAGACGCACGCATTTTTTTTGCTCTTCAAAATTATAAATTAAATCAACGTTTAACGAGTGAAAGAAAACAATTGGTTCCTTTCCTGGTAGAAATCATTCTTCTGGAGAAGAGAAAGATTGGTTCCCAATCCTGAATTCAACTGTTCCTGTCACGAAGATAATATCCTCATTTTGACCTCCAAAGTTTTCATAAAAACAAATTGGCTAAGTTAAGTTATTTTTTTTATGACTTATTGTTTTGTTGATTGAAACTTTAAAAATCTCTTCTTACCTTCAATACGAAAAGTTTTCTTGATAAGTTCACTATAAAATTTTGAGGCTAGGATTACAATTTCCCTAATTAATTTAATTTTTCACGAGTTTTAAAACTATAACAATATCCGAGTTGATAAATATTACTTCGCATTAACTAATCTAGAGAATTTGTTCATATAATTAGTAAATTCTGTTAATTTTGTCGACAACATTTCACCATAATAGGGCCGTTAGTATTTTTTTTATTGGCTTATTCGAAAGTTTTTTAAAATTGATTGACTCTATTTTTTTAAATTTTTGATTCTGAGGCTTATTGTTAGTTTAAAAAAATAATAATAAAGTTTGAAACTACAGGGCGCGAATTCCAAAATACGTCACTCAGATTTGAGCGTACGATTGGAGCGTATAAAAATCAATAAAATTCCTGGAGAGAGACAATGCTACGAATCTTATGCGCTACAAGAAAACAGNGTAAACACGACAACAAAGTTGTCATTTAATGACGTTTGAAGAAAAAATAAATTAAATCAACGTTTGAGTGTAAAAAAAATATCCGTTCCTGTCCAACCACTGAAGAAAACAATCGATCCTGTTCCTATCGAAGAAACTAATTTGGTGCTGTATATGAACTATCCGTTCCTGTCCACAACCATCGAAGAAAACAATTGAATTCGTTCCTGATCAAAGAAATTATTCTTCTGGTGAAGAGAAAAATTGGTTCCCAATCCTGAATCTAACTGTTCCTGTCACGAAGAAAATATCCTGAGTTTGACCTCCAATGTTTTCATAAAAACAAATTGGCTAAGTTAAGTTATTTTTGTTATGACTTATTGTTTTGTTTTGTTGATTCAAACTTTAAAAATCTATTACCTTGAATACGAAAAGTTTTGTTGATAAGTTCCCTATAAAATTTTGAGGCTAGGATTACAGTTTCCCTAATTAATTTAATTTTTCACGAGTTTTAAAACTGTCAATATCCGAGTTGATAAAAAATATTACTTGTTATTAACTAATCTAGAAAATTTGTTCATATAATCAGTAAATTCTGTTAATTTTGTCGACAACATTTCACCATAATAGGACCGTTCAGTTTTTTTTTATTGGCTTATTCGAAAGTTTTTTAAAATTGATTGACCCTATTTTTTTAAATTTTTGATTCTGAGGCTTAGTTTAAAAAAATAATAATAAAGTTTGAAACTACAGGGCGCGAATTCCAAAATACGTCACTCAGATTTGAGCGTACGATTGGAGCGTATAAAAATCAATAAAATTCCTGGAGAGAGACAATGCTACGAATCTTATGCGCTAGAAGAAAACAGAAGTAAACGGAAGCGAATATAACGTCTGTGATTTCTTTCTTCTTACTTAAAACGTCATCTGGAGTCGGAGATGGGGAATTTTAAACTTTTACATTAATTATTGCAAAAATTAAACAATTTGCGAACGCGAAAGCGTTAGTAATCCGTCTAATTTAATTTAGATTATCGATTTTTTTGAAAGACGGTCTTTCTAATTGATTGACCTTAACAGCCCTATTGCACCTTAAGCTCTGCACGTGTTTGTCTGGACTGTGAACCTTTTGACCCTGAGATTTAATTCGACAATTATATTTGAATATTTAAATTTTTCAATTTAATATAAAATGAATTTATTATTAAATTTAGTAATGTCATTTTTATTAAAATAATTCTTTTCGGAAGAAGAGGGAAAGAGAGGGCTATTTTCTGGCCACATTACAAAATCATTACAAGATTTTTGAGGTCGCGGTGAAAGATTGATTGGTCCGCCTACCCGATATATAATTTATGTAATGTAATCACCAAGAATTAGCCAAAAGCTCTTCAATATCAAAATAAGCCTTAACAATGATGTCCGATTGTAGCAGTGAGAAATATACTGTTCGCAGCGCATGAGTGGAGACAGTGACAGATAGTTGTCTCAGCAAAATAGCAGCAGAACTCAGTCTACCGGCTAGTTTAACCCCATGCTCAGCTATTTAAGGTCCGATTCCAGATATAAGCCCACAATTTTGCAACCAGGAACAGGTTCCTCCTGGTCATCTGTGCGCAAGGTGAAGACTAGGTTAAGTGTCTTACTTGCTTTTAGGGTCAGGTTATCGCTATTAAACCAAACCTTAGCTAATTCAACTGTATTATTTCGTACCGCTGTAGCCGCATTCAAAACAGAGCTTCGACTAATAAATGTAGTACCATCAGCATATGGAAGTCTGTGGCACACCATATTTACTACTACCGAGGTCAGAAAACTGTAAATTAAATTTGACATACTGTTTATGGTTGGACAAATAGGAAGATATTAAGCCGCAAGCTTTAGGAGATATGTTGTACATGTATAATTTCCTTAAAAGAGTTATGTGAGAAAAACAGTCAAAAGACTTTGTTAAGTCAACAAAAGAAACACTGCAAAGTTCCGATTTCTCGACACGGTCCACAATATTATTCAATAATTTCAATACTGCACTTGTAGTTGATCTACCGTGTTGAAAACCAAACTGTCTTTGTTAGTCTTGCTAAACAAATTTTTACATTCAAATTACTTTACAAACTGATTTTTAAGTAGGTGTTCGAAGATTTTTGACAGTATGGGCAAGATTGATTTTTCCCGGCAAGATTAATACAAGCGGTTTTAAAAATTTTAAAAGCGGCCAGAAAAATAGATTCACAAACACAGTGGTTCAGTAGCTTAGTTAGCGGAGTAATTAACAAATTGCGCATATGTTTAATCATTGCGGCATTCAGACCAAAACTTGCATAGGATTTGCTATTTTTTATTCTATCACATCTCTCACCTCAACCTCGGAAAAGACACTGAATTGGAAGTATCCTGTGACGCGGGGTGGTTATCGCTCTTCCAGAGGGTCAATGGATCAATGTTAGTTTGTATTGAATGACAGGATTAGCTAAAGTAATTATTAAATTGCTTAGCACTTATTCACGATGCTGCAGATGGCAGATTCTGAATTTTTGAGATTTTCAACATAACGTCTAATCCGTCGATTAGAGCTTGTCTGTTTTTTTTGCGGTAGTCGTCTCTTAATACTTTCATATGGAGATTCATATTGGCCAGATAAGCCTCATTAATGAGTTGTAAATTCTGTTACAGTAGTTGTCTATCCATGCATGACGTCACGAACGGTCCGTGGAGTATACCTGTTCTCAGGATGTAGCAGTCCTCTTATATTCTTGCTATTAACTAATTATGCAGCAAGGGCTCTATTTACAAATTGCAAAATATTTTTGAATTTTCTGTTTAGTTCAATATACAGTAAACTATATAACAGTGAGGTTTATTTTCACTAGTAATTTGTAGGTGGCGGATTCGTACATAAATAAGTTAATGCCTTATTAATACCTTAACAGGCTTTTTGAATTAATTACGTTGAAAAAAAAGTGATCTGGATTTGAACTGGTCATGTCCACGTTTCCATTTGTTACTTAAATGGGGGACGAACAGAATAAAAAGGTAACATAAAACAAGAAGGAAAACGAATGGTTTTGTTCTGGGAAGAGACTACGAGAATCGAATAAATTTCCCAAGCTAGACAAATTAAATTTAATTCAGGTGAAAAACTGCGCATATGCCATCTAATGAAAAAGACCCCGATA